AATCAGAAGTCTCACAAGCCAGCGAAAACAAGATCATCAAGTCTGGCTTGCCAGAGTCTTTCCTAGGCATCAACCTAGGGACATGAAAATCTCATCATTAATCTCATCGTCCCAAGAGCCCAAGCCCAGCCGCCCAAGCCGGCCTGCGGGCGGTAGGCCCGAGCAAGGGCAGTTGCCTCCGTTGGCAAACACCATGACGGTTTCTGATGGTTTCTGTGCTGTAATTTAGTACACAAACACAAAATTTGCTCATGTTTGTCCCAAAGAAGTGAAACAAGAGATACTCAGATACTAAATTACGGGCATATGGGCAAAATGATTTTCTGAGAACCTGAGACGGCACAGGGTACCCTGTTTTGAGACAGGCCGAAAGAGCAACAAATGGGTATGGCTCAAAACAGTAAACCCAAAAAATTGATCCTTTTAACTCCCAAACTTGACGACTTTCGGTTCATTTCTACGCGCTCACTTGACCCATACCCAAACGAGGCGACGCATCAAAACCCGATCAGTACCTTGGTTTTCGCATATTATTCGCTCCTTGTAGCTTTGGATGTTCATCCCCATACTCGCAATCACGGGGTGTTTGAATGTTTTTGAGCCATTCCCATGTTTGATGTTCAGCCCCACATCGACCCACCCGCCTCAAGACAATCATCCAGGATCTTTCCATCGGCGTAGCTCTCCACCGCATCAACATCCAAGGGTGAAATCTGGGTTTGCTGAACCACCTGGAACCGCGAAGCGGCGCAAAGCGGGTATCACCTGTGGAGCCATAGATACATCATGATACATCAATGCCAATGGAATTTTGAATCAACAAAAATAGTTGGGAGTCAAACCCCAATTTTCGGCCGTTTATATACAGTACCAATACTAGAAAATCATACGTGATTTATGATTATAAATATAAATATATATATATATGATTATGTTGATTATGGTTATGTTGATTCGTGGTTCGAAAATTGGGAGTCGACCAATACTGATTGGATCTGATTGGTGGTAGCCGGTGGCAATTTGATCTGGCAAAGAGATATCCATCTACAAACAATGAGATGTTCCTTTGCCACAACGGCCCAAGCCTCAAAATTGGCCATCTTCACCAGGGAACATCATCGGTTGTTTATGGTTTGTTTGAAATAGGATATCCTCAAAGTTGATGATTGATCAACAGTTTCCCATCGTTTCCCCCAAAAAAATGCCATTGACATAGCGGGCCCACTGCCAGTGCCTCATGGATCACTTCTTGAAGCGCCAAACAGTCGGGAGCTGCCATGTGAACTCTCCTGGGCGCCGCGTTTTTCGCGCGGCGTGTTTTTCGCCGGAGTTTGGAGCTGAAACCGATCCAAAGCATCAGTTCTCCAGATTTAGCTGTAGAACATGAAGACTGGTTGGATGTATACCTACCCCTCTGAAAAATGATGGAGTTCGTCAAATTGAAAAATATCATCCCAACTATTGGGGAAAATTCCAAACCATTCCAAACCACCAACCAGAAGATGAAGCTACATAGTTGGGAAACTCTTGTAGCTCCAACTGGCTCCCCATTGGGAATATGGATACCATTGGATAGCCCTAGCTCCAACCGCTCCCACTGGATAGCCGAGGCCGTAACCTGCCACTCTGGTTGGTTGCGCTGCCGGCCAAATGACCCAGGACTTGGTCTTCATTCTTCACCTTGAGGGAATTCTTAGAACTCCGAAAAAAAAAAGTTCTTCTAATTTTATCCCAATTGTTAGAACCTTAAGGGATCCTTCGTTCTTCACCTTGAGGGAATTGTTACGTATTAGAACAATCCCAATTTTTCCGTCTTTGTTTGTCATATCTGGTAACTATTAACCATTATTAGTATATGGTAACCATATTAACCATATGATTTTACCATATATTAACCATCTTTACTCTGTTTGTCATTGGTCATTGTTATTAGAACAATCCCAATAATCATTGGTAATTGTTTGTCAATAACAAAAACAAATCTGGTTGGTGGTTTCAACCCCTCTGAAAAATAATAGTCAGTTGGGATGATTCTTCCCAATATATGGGAAAATGAAAGTCATGTTCAAAACCACCAGCCAGAAATAATTGGGATCACAATCTGATAAAAAATAATTGTCATCGAAATCATCCTCGCCTCGCCGTCCTCCACCTCTAGTGCCTTGAGCACCATGGATGCCACACAGTCACCGCGAATATATCCTAAACGGAAACGGATGGCCACGGAGGGCCACGGATGGATGGAAACGCCCATGGCTTCCCAGAAGCCATGGCGCTTGGACCATGAAAACTTGGTGATTTATGGCTCAGAGAGCAACTTAAGATGTTGGATATCACTGAGGAAAATATGTTTTTCAGAACCAAATCATGGGATAAATGAATGATGGGATTTAACTTAAGATTTAATCAGCCAAACTTGGATTTAATGATTTAACTGATTTTTGGATATTCATTGGCTTGGTGTAGGAGAAATCTACAGGAAACCATTGTTTGATTCTTGAATACAGGGGGTGTCCCGTAATTTTGGGATAGGGTCAAAACCCTGTGCCCCTGTAATTGCCATTGTAGCTCGCATCAGAGCTGAGATTCATGGATTTATACACGAAAAATGTATCTATATAGATACTTATTCAGAGCCATATAACCAACAAACGTGGTGCAAGAAAACTGGGGATATAACAAAAAATGACATGGTGGGGATAATTGGGGGCATGTTCATACACAATAATTAGTGGCTCATGGGTTGGGGGATTTCACACATCACAATTGTTAGTAGAGATGAATTCCCCAAAACAACTGGGAATGTTTGAATGGGTGGCTGCACTACCCCTCAGTCTCAGCAATCTTTAATTATGAACTGGTGATATGGAAATGGGAATGCAGTATTTACAGAAATGAACAGTCTGGTTCATATATGCCATTTTTCCATTCTGCCGACTAGAGCGAGTCCTCGCTCGGTCTTGCCATCTGAATTCTGAAAACTACGGATCTAGTCTCCTTGGTAGTCTGGTAAAAATGACTTCCGTGTGTAGATACTGCGTCCAGCATCCACTGACGATCCGCCTGTGCACATGCAAGTGCAGCCGAAACCCTTCTGTACGTGCTCGGTCTCTAAGACCTTTCACAAGAGCCACGAGCATGGTACGGCAAAGGGCACTACTGTACTCTTTGGCTGCCGCCGTTCGGTAGCAGCCAGATGCACATATATGCCAAAAGTATCCAAAAGTGGTTTGTTGTGCATGTACCAAATATGAACCACTTCATTTTGGGTAAATCCCAATTAAGCGGCTATTGACAATGCTGCTCTTGGGTTCCCCAAGAGCCATCTTGAAGATACCGGATGGATGAGAATCCTCGACAGGAAGCTTTTGGAAGCCCTGGTAGCCCTGGGGGCTGTGAAGCTTCTTTTAACTCTCCGGCTTTCGCGCGATTGATTCACCATTGACATAGAGGAAAATGGCTGAGCTATCAGCAGCCCACTCCTTCCAAGCTGACTCCATTTCAGAGAGGTCGGAATTCTGAGCTATTCCCAACTCCACAGCTTGAGAGCCAAAGGTTTTAAGCGTTCGCTCGGCCCAAGATTCACCGAACGCCTTTCTTCTATCTTCATCCTCGGAACTGTAGGTGACGGTAGCAGTGCTGTAGCGAACTTCAATTAAGCCGGCCGAGTGCATCCATTGCTTCAAATAAAGCCCTGCATCTGGCTCACTTCCATTTTTCCGTGCAGTGGCCATATAAGCATCCCGCCATTTCTGAATGCCAGGCAGTACTGGAGCCCCGTGCATGGTGGAATAGACCACTTCCCTCACTGCAACCAGGCCCCCAGGTCTCAAGGTTCGAAACATCTCCTTCAGCGCAGCCACAGGATCAGCCAAATGTTGAAGCACCTGATGAGCATAGACCACATCAAAGGTGTTGTCTTCAAAGGGCAGTTGATATGCACCTGGAAGATCTGGTGCAATTCTTGGAGATCCAACCCTTTGGAGAGCAACAAAGAGCATCTAGAATCTAGAGATATCTAGAGATATCTAGAGATATCTAGAGATATCTAGAGATATCTAGAGCTATGTGCACTTCGAACTTCCTCGAAATCATACCGATATACCGATCCTACTGAAATGCAAAGCAAATGTGGGAAGGAAAAATGACGCAAACGTGTCGCAACCAAGACTCTTGCAACTCGAAAATCAACTCCATCTCCCCATTCCTGCGCTTGGGAAATTACATCTTCCGAGCTGTCTACTCCAATGACTTCCTTTACGTGCTTCGTAAATCCTCGAGTAATGGATCCAGGACCGCAGCCAACATCTAGCAGCTTGAAGTGGGGCTGAAGCATTGGCAGCAAAAAAGCAGCACTATCCTCCACTGTTCTCGCATTGTGAATGCTCACGACACTCTTGTGATGTCCATGGGTGTATTTCTCCATGTCGAGACCAAAGTTGCAGCTTGCTTTGAACCACAGCTGCAACAGATACAGCTCCCTCCAAACCCATGATTTTGATTGCTATGTAGACTCGCTGGACCGGAATGGAGTCTTTGACTTGAAGATGATTTGGGCATTCTATTTGGATAAACTCAGGACTTAGCAATGCCCCAGCTAAGGCCAGTACCACTTGCTGATGCATCGAAGGCGAAAGTTCGTCCCTGCAATGATCAAAACCGTTGCCAAGTTTGCCAAGAGAAAACTGCAAAAGTTTCAAAAAGGTGCATTCAGGCGCACCTGCGGAGAAAGGAATCTACATGCAGACAGCTGGATGTAGGACCTGGAAATCAATGGAAATCACTGGAAATCTCGCGGAAATCTCTGGTGTTTCACTGGAAATCACCGCATCAAACATGCCGAGGCGGCGCTGGGCTGAGCTGCAGGTTCCAAGAGTTGCAAAGAGCAAAAGGGATTGGATCCCAGTTGCCAGTCCGAGACAGATTGGTACTGGCAGGGACCGGAGCAAAAAGCGTTCAAATATGTGGTATATATATATATACATCATACATACATACATACATACATACATACATACATACATACATACATACATACATACATACATACATACATACATACATACTACATACATACATACATACATACATACATACATACATACATACATACATACATACATACATACATACATACATACATACATACATACATACATACATACATACATACATTACATACATTACATACATTACATACATTACATACAATACATACATTACATACATTACATACATTACATACATTCCATACATTCCATACATTACATACATTACATACATTACATACATTACATACATTACATACATTACATACATTACATACATTACATGCATTACATACATTACATACATTACACACATTACACACATTACATACATTACATACATTACATACATTACATACATTACATACATTACATACATTACATACTTTACATACATTACATACATTACATACATTACATACATTACATACATTACATACATTACATACATTACATACATTACATACATTACATACATTACATACATTACATACATTACATACATTACATACATTACATACATACATACATACATACATACATACATACATACATTACATACATTACATACATTACATACATTACATACATACATACATACATTACATACATTACATACATTACATACATACATACATTTACATTACATACATCTACATACATACATTACATACATTACATACATTACATACATTACATACATTACATACATTACATACATTACATACATTACATACATTACATACATTACATACATACATACATACATACATACATACATACATACATACATACATACATCATACATTCATACATTCATACATTCATACATTCATACATTCATACATTCATACACACATACATACACACATACATACACACATACAGACATTCATTCTTACATTCATACATACATACATACATACGCACATACCTACGTACATACACATACATACACATACATACACATACATACACATGCATGCATGCATGCATGCATGCATGCATGCATGTATGTATGTATGTATGTCCGCCGACCCCTGCTGTGGCGGGGGAGCGCGTGAGAGAAGCAACTCCTTGGACCCGAGGTGTGCCAGACGAAAGCCACCTGCAAGACGCAGCAAGCGATTTGGAAGCCGGCAGTGCAGAACGGCAGGTAACGGCCAGGTTTGCAGCTAGTTTCTAAGCGTTCAGAAAGCGACGTTTGGCAGTCTGGGCTACGGGCCGCGGGCCCGATCCCGTCCTTCACTGCCATGGTGTTTTAGCTCTGCGGCGCCGCCCTTGGACCCGAGCTGTGCCAGACGAAAGCAAGCGAGGTGGCAGCCAGCAGTGCAGGAAGGCGAGCAAATTGAAGGTTTGAAGCTAGTTTCTAGTCGGTTCAGCAAGTGACGTTTGGCACTCTGGGCTACGGGCCTCGGGCCCGATCTGTCCTTCACTGCCATGGTGTTTTAGCTCTGCGGCACCGCCCTTGGACCCGAGCTGTTCTAGACTCTAGACGAAAGCAAGCGAGGTGGCAGCCAGCAGTGCAGGAAGGCGAGCAAATTGAAGGTTTGGCGTTAGATTCGGATTGAATGTTTGAAGCTAGTTTCTAATCGGTTCAGAAAGTGGCGTTTGGCACTCTGGGCTACGGGCCGCGTGCCCGATCTGTCCTTCACTGCCATGGTGTTTTGGCTCTGCGGCGCCGCCCTTGGACCCGAGCTGTGCCAGACGAAAGCAAGCGAGGTGGCAGCCAGCAGTGCAGGAAGGCGAGCAAATTGAAGGTTTGAAGCTAGTTTCTAGTCGGTTCAGCAAGTGACGTTTGGCACTCTGGGCTACGGGCCTCGGGCCCGATCTGTCCTTCACTGCCATGGTGTTTTAGCTCTGCGGCACCGCCCTTGGACCCGAGCTGTTCTAGACTCTAGACGAAAGCAAGCGAGGTGGCAGCCAGCAGTGCAGGAAGGCGAGCAAATTGAAGGTTTGGCGTTAGATTCGGATTGAATGTTTGAAGCTAGTTTCTAATCGGTTCAGAAAGTGGCGTTTGGCACTCTGGGCTACGGGCCGCGTGCCCGATCTGTCCTTCACTGCCATGGTGTTTTACCTCTGCGGCACCGCCCTTGGACCTGAGCTGTGCCAGACGAAAGCAAGCGAGGTGGCAGCCAGCAGTGCAGGAAGGCGAGCAAATTGAAGGTTTGGAGGTAGATTTGGATTGAAGGTTTGAAGCTAGTTTCTAGTCGGTTCAGAAAGTGACGTTTGGCACTCTGGGCTACAAGCCGCGGGCTTTGAGCCAACTGGTCCCAGGGGTCGGCGGCATGGGGGCGCCAGCCCCACTTATATGTATAATTATGTATGTATAGCCTCGTCCCAGGTCCTAGAACTGCGTAAACCCGAATTAGGTTGGTAAAACTTGTCAGTTCCGTGACGAAATTTCGTCGCGGAATTGACAAGTTTCATTAGGGTCGTCACCATCATCATCATCATCATCATCATCATCATCATCACATCATCATCACATCATCATCATCATCATCATCATCATCATCATTGTCATCATCATCATCATCATCACCATCATCATCACCATCATCATCATCATCATCATTGTCATCATCATCATCATCATCAGCATTAGTATCATCATCATCTGCAAGTTCACATGAACGTTAACATCCCACCCCATCCCCCCCCCACCCCACCCCGCGTGTGCGTACAATCAACTGCTTCTGCAAGTTCACATGAACGTTAACATCCCACCCCATCCCCCCAAACCCCACCCCGCGTGTGCGTAGCATCAACTGCTTCTGCAAGTTCACATGAACGTTAACATCCCACCCCATCCCCCCACCCCATCGTATGTAGTTCCAGGACCTGGGACGAGCCTATGTATATATATATATACACACACAATATATTTGGGGGATTGTCATATCACCATCGTTACACAACAAGTTGTTAGATTTCATCTGTTTCTTTCGTAGAAACTTGCGGAGCAAAGACAACGCAGCGATGGAGATTACCAATGGATACCAGCTGTTCAAATGCTCCAAATGCTCCAAATGCTCCAAATGCTCCAGTGACACACCTGGCATAGTTGACAGCCACCAGCGACGATGCTCCCTCCACATCTATGCTGATGCATGGGCCCTGGCGCAACGGTGACAGTTGGATCTCAGCTGGGGATTGGCCAAATCGGAACAGCAGCTGACTTTGCCGTCAAATTACCTGATTCTTGCACCACTTCATGTTCAAAACATAGCATTTTGGGGGGTATGGTCATCCCAGCGTGACTGGTATGGGCTCTTTTATACTGGAAATGATAATTCCCCAAATGGTGGTATGGGTACAGTATATAATCCCCCGCCACCGCCTCGCCTTCAGGCCATGTACGAAGGAAAAGCGACCACAGGCAATGCTTCCTCCGCCACCTTGAGCCCCATCGCCCGAAGACGCTCCCAAGTCTGGCAAGAAAAGCACTTCAAATCTCTAATGTGGGTAAAACAATAATAAATCATCCCCCAGTCATCACCATTTTTCCCGAGAGCGCCTGCGAAGAGTTCTTCGTAAAAAAGCAGCCGTTGCAATACATCTTCACACCCTCACATCTGCTGATCTACATCTTCACACCTTCACATCTGCTGATCTACATCTTCACACCCTCACATCTGCTGATCTACATCTTCACACCCTCACATCTGCTGATCTACATCTTCACACCCTCACATCTGCAGATCTACATCTTCACACCCTCACATCTGCAGATCTACATCTTCACACCCTCACACCTGCAGATCTACATCTTCACACCCTCACGCCTGCTGACCTACATCTTCACACCTTCACACCTGCAGATCCTTTTTCTTCACACCCTCACATCTGCAGATCTAGATCTTCACGCCCTCACATCTGCTGATCTACATCTTCACACCCTCACACCTGCAGATCTACATTTACATCTTCACACCCTCACATCTGCAGATCTACATCTTCACACCTTCACATCTGCAGATCTACATCTTCACACCCTCACATCTACAGATCTACATCTTCACACCCTCACACCTGCAGATCTACATCTTCACACCCTCACATCTGCAGATCTACATCTACATCTCGCTCTCTTTCTATCTCTCTCTTAAGGCGGGGGCGGCGCCGCCAGAGCGCCACGAAACGCAACCCTTTCGAACGAAATGGACGTTGAACGTCAAAAACTGAGGAAAAAATTGCGATTTCACGAGTCCAGTCTCTGTGTGCAAAATGGTCTGTGTGTAAAAGTGTCTGTGTAAAAGCTGCTGTGTGTGAAAGCGTCTCTGTATAAAAGCGTCGCGTTTCTTCACATCCGAGGAATGATGGTACCGAGCTTTTTCGGCAATGTGTGTAGGAATTACCATAGTAAAATATGATAACACATGTCACTCGCAGCATCATGGTACCGAGCCTCCTGTGCACTTTTGTTGCTCACATGATATTTCTCCATGTTTTCTTTCTATCTCCCTTTCCTTCTCTCTCTCTCTCTCTCTCACCCTCTCCCTCTTTCTCTCTCTCCGTCTCCCTCTCTCTCTCTCTCTATCTATCTATCTATCTATCTATCTATCTATCTATCTATGTCTCTCTGTGGTTGCAAGACACGTGTCATCTGATGCCCTTTACCAAATATCCTCTTCTTAATCAATCTTACTTTTCACACCTTATCCCTCCATAGCTCATATAAAATTCACCAACCATTCACCGACTATCTTTTACGACTACCATCCTCAGAGCTGCTTGAAAAACATTTTTTTCGCTCTCGGGCCAACCGTCGTCTAGTTGTAGGTGGTATGTTTACCATTCCCAAATGGGTGAAAGTCACCCCTGGTGAGCATCCCGGAATGACTCAAGAGTAGCTGGCTACTGGACTGAGTCGCCAGGCCGCAAACGCCACCTCCAATGATGTCCTTTGGCGTCATGCTCCACTCTGAAGGAGGTGGATTGGCAACGTACCTGGCGTCCCCCCACACCGTACAGAAGCATGCATCAAACCCTGTGGTTTAGGGACAGTCTTGGAAGGGAACAGGGTAGAAGCACAAAAGCACAAGGTCATCCGTGTATACATGTATATATATATACATACATACATACATACATACATATATATATATATACATATTATATATATATATATATACATATATATATATATACATATATATATATATACATATATATATATATGCACCGTATCGGGAGCCAAAAGTGACTGGGGTATCCCAGTGGACACATGACACCCACCAGCCGAAAAATCGCTTAGGCAGCGCACACGCCCCCACGGCTGTTCATCAAAGTGTTTGCTTTGTAGCCATCGCGGACCAGGGCCTGCACATCAGACTATGGTGGATCTGTATTTCCTCATTTTCCGGTAGATCCAAAGAACAGAGACCAACATTGCTGAGACTCGAGTGGATTCCCAGACCCAAACACCTCGTAGCCAGTCTCTAGCGTTAATCGATGGCCAGGGTCCATGCCTGAGTGGAATCATCAGAGCATTTGATCAGAAAAGCCCCACTATTTACTGTTTTTTCTGCCTTGAATCCCCATACCTCTTGGTGAATCTTATCATTTTGGGGTGAATTTAAATCCCATTCACCATCAACCACCCGAAAGTTTGGGAATTGAGTGCCCGACCCGAAGCTTCGGCCCTGGAAATTCTGAAGGCCATGCAATCGAAGAGTTCAATACCTTCGATGTACACGCCTCGGAGTCAAAACTCGACAAATGACGTGGGTCTGTCCACCAAAACCCAATTTAGTGAGGCTATTTGTGCAGGATAATGATCCACTATGATCCACTGCATTTTGGGATAGACTAAAAGTTGGATAAACCCATCATAACCCATCTGTGTCGCATCTTCAGTTGCTTTGGACCAACCGGCTTGTGAGTTCTGCGTCATCTGAACACGCTGTCGAACCATGTAGGGTTGCCCCTTCAGACCCGCTGAGATACAGGCCGTGCATGCAATCGGTCTTGCCATTCTTGTAAGCCTGCGAACAACCAGCAGCCTACCCTTCCTTTCCGTGTCATCAAAAATGGTTGGGAAATCACCTGTACAAAAGGGAAGTTTGAAGGGGAAAAACATCTGCAAATAGGGGATTTCTCTGGTTAACTGATGTTAATTGGGGGTAACTGGGCTGCTGTCTCAATATCATTCCACATCTACGGGCGCTGAAACCAAACACCTCACACACCGCGAACTGGCCTCCGGTGAATCCTCGAAGTAGTTGTCGTGTTGCCATCTCATCATGGGCACCTGCCGCATTGCGATCTGTGCGGTACCGACATCCACTCAGCCTCCGTACTGTGTCCAAACCTGTTGTGTGTTAGCTGCACGCCTGCACAGCGTAGTCTGGGCCGGAGTTAAAAGACAAAGCCCAGGACAAAGGGTCTTCCCTCAGTCAAATGGACGTGAAATGGACGGATTGTTGGTGCGCGGGCGCATTTGGTTATGCAAAACTCATAGGGAAAAAGTGTCTAAGAGAAGAAATTGCATGTAATGGTATCTATTTTCAAATCTATGTTTTTTTTCGTATTGGTGTTGCCTTTTGGCTAAAAAAAGGAAAATCCCGATCTGAATGACAACTTCGATGGGTCGCAGACGTGCCAGGCTCCTTGACGCAAGCCGTCCGGAGTGCCACGCGCTGGGTCTGAGGCAACGCCGCTGGTCAGTTTGTGATTGCTGGAGAACTACTGTGGTAACTGGGGTATACCCATCTTTTTGTTGAACCATAGCCATCTTTAATGATTCAATTTAAAACCAACTTTGGGCATCAATTTAACCTTCGAATCGCTTGGTGTTTCAGTATCATGCTCTTGGCTTTAAGGAGCCGGCATTGATCTTCTCTCTGTTGATCTTCTCTTCCCAGTCACGAGGCATTTCCATGTACCTTTTCTCCTGACAAGTCTGGGGTCCAAGGGGCTCGTTTGATTCAGCGGTCAACGGGCACAAATAGGCAAACCTTTTAAAAGAATCCATTGGACTGAAAAGCTGAAAAGGATAGCTTCCTCTCGAATGCTCGAATGTCAAAGTGTGTGCATTCATATGCATGATTAGAAATCATCATTATCAGCAACAACAACGACAACAGCAACAGCAACAGTGACAGCAACAACAACGACAACGACCACGAAGACAACGGCAAAAGCAACAGCAACAGCAGTATATATATATATACATGTATGTATGTATGTATGTATGTATGTATGTATGTATGTATGTATGTATGTATGTATGTATGTATGTATGTATGTATGTATGTTGTATGTATGTATGTATGTATGTATGTATGTCTGTGTGTGTGTATGTATGTATGTATGTATGTATGTATGTATGTATGTATGTATGTATGTATGTATGTATGTATGTATGTATGTATGTATGTATGTATGTATGTACAACACATATGTAATATATACGTAAACATTTACACATATATTTTACACATGGTATATATATATATATACATACATAACATATATAATATATAACATATATATATAACATATATATAACATATATATATATAACATATATATATATAACATATATATATAACATATATATAACATATATATATATAACATATATATATATATAACATATATATATAACATATACATATATAACATATATATATATAACATATATATATAACATATATATATAACATATATATATAACATATATATATATAACATATATAATATATATAATATATATATAACATATGTATATATTATAAAACATATTTATATATACAACATATAGTGTGTATATATATATACACACTATTGTGTGACTTATTCTTCAAGACTGTACGTCAAAGTCAGGGCCAAGTCCTGGAGACTGCTCTGCTTGAATCTCTCCATCCGCTCTGCAGCCCATTGCTTCAAGGCCTTCCCGACGTGGCAACGAACTGGTCGTGACCGATTCTTTTAACAGCTGAGGGCGGCACAAAACCCGAAGGACTTACCGGGTCCTAGCAGAAAATGATGTGGTGTCTGTTGAAACATCCGGAAAATTCTGCAAACTGATGGAAACTTTACAAAATTGCAACCGGCCGGTGTGACCACCGAAGCAAACAAAACACCAAGCAGGGATCTGTGGAATCACTTTCCTGGCCATTGAGGTTGCAGTAGAAACACGTCAAGCAATAGGCCTCGGTGACCAAAGCATCAGCCCCCAAACATTCGCACTGCACATGTCATAAGAATTGATTTTTGATACACAAAAATCGTTTTCCATGATCCCAGCTCCTGATGTGAATAAACCATCCAACAAATGGAGGTTTCCTAAAATGGGGGGCCCTGGGGGGGTATCCCCATTTATGGAACCCCCAGCACCAATCTTTCCGGTCCAGTATCATCTCGGTCTCCGACACAGCCCAAGGATGAGAAACGATGATAAAGGGCATCAGCACCTCGTGCATTCAGATCATTCAAATCATTCAGAGCAGCCAAGGGGTCTTGGAATGTCTTGGCTGTTTTAACATTACTGGAGATTGACATGATTGACCAATGCTGGAGATTGACCTAAATGAGTACTGTAAGGCTCCAGCGAACAATCACTAAACGCCCAGGCCGCATTGTCACCTGGCTCGGGTTTGATCAACCATCGTTGGTTTGCATCAAAAATGCAACCTGGAGATTTAGCAACTTGGAGTTTTGCATTGTGACATTCCATCATTCGGTTTCCAAGTCCCAGCGAAAGCAGAGGGGCGATAGCAGTGGAACCCATCATTGTGGTCTTGGCTTCAGATAGCGAAACAAATAGGATCCCGAAACAATGCGTCAATGGCCTGATTGTAGAAGAGGCTTTTACAGTTGTTTGATACTCAAGAATTAGCATTTTTGTTTAAACACCGCCTCACTAGACCCTTTTGCCCCACTGATGTCTAGCCTACTGGCCGGCGTCAAAAAATTCTCTCGAGGAAGAAATTAGATCAAGACTAATCAAGGTTTCCCAACCGTTGGTCTGATACAAATATATACAAATGAAACCTCGCACAACTTGCAACCCACAATCTGGGATGGTCCAAAAAGCGGCTTTTTTTAACCCAGATCCAATGGTTGATCCGATCAATCCTCATTTCCTCCCATGCAAAATTGGCTTCTGTGGGAAATGTCCCAAAATTTCAGACACACCCAGCTAGTTCTCGCCCGTGCCTTCATGGGTTCCGCCGTTTCTGCCCAAGGCTGGAGCTGCAATTCGCCGCTCTCGGGACCCAAGCACCAAATACTCATGAGCCTGGATACAGTGGCCAGAACCGGAACAACTGAACCATAAACTTGGTCGTGTTTGGATGTATTTAGTATGAAACCCTAAATTTTTGGTGGCAATAATTCTGACTTCTGCAAAATTCGATTGGATAGACTGGGATTTGAGTGGGGGTGGTTTACCCATGTTTATACCCATTCCATTTGCGAACACGTCCAATGGATGGTCGGGGCCCAATCCGTGGCAATCCGTGCCTGTGGCTGAAAAAGAGCTTGAGCCATTTGCTGCAGACCTGCATCTCCCATACCACCGAAGCTCTACAATATCTTTTGGAATAGCCATGTCAACAGCTTGCCAAAGAAAAAATCTTAGAGGTCTTGTCCAGTGGTATTCCATGGTATTCCATGGTATTCCATGGTATTCCATGGTATTCCATGGTATTCCATGGTATTCCATGGTATTCCATGGTATTCCATGGTATTCCTCTATGAATCATAGACAGAATCAAGGAACAATCATAGAGCCTCTTCTGTCAGTGCTGGGCCATCTCCCTTTGGCTTGGAGACCTGGTGAAAAAAGTGAGACCATCGAGGCGATATTTCATGCTGTGTCTCTACTTCAGGGGGGACCCTGGGGATGCTTAAATTTTAAAATAACTTCATAAAATATCCATTGTCTGACTTGGATAGTCAAAGAAATTTGATGGAAAAAAAACAGCATCTTTTTGCATCTTTTTCCCCATCAAATGCTTCATGTCTGAATTCCTCGAAGTAAAAAGTGCCCCACCTCATGTAGCAACGCACTCGATCTCGCTGAAACCTCAGGTGGGCATACCATGGCATACCAATGGGAGTCTGGAAAACCATGGAAAACCCTACTTGGTGGCCCATCCCACTTAGTAAGTGGGTTATAACCCCAGTTATAAATGGGATAAGTAGGGTTAATCCACTTATAACCGGGGTTATAACCCACTTACTAAGTGGGATGAGCCACCAAGTATTCCATCTAGTCATCACTTTCCCGGTGAAAAACCGCCATAACTCGGGGTTTCAACAACCCCATTGTCAGACAGATTCGCCTCTATCTTTGCACGCTCCAAGTGAGGTGACAAGAGATTTGCGTAGCGCCTGCCACATGGCTTAAGTCAATAGGGTATTGATAGGGGGATAAATGCGAGATACATGGGATATTGATGGCATTTTGTGAAGCAAGATCATATATTATGTGGGTCTGAAATTGGGTAGTGTAGCCCCCAATTAGACCATTTCAAATAGAGAAAATGATTATAAACCAATGAATGGAATGGGGCAGCCTATTTACGGACAAACTCAGATGAAGGGATGAAACGTTGCACCTGCCCGTCCAAACAGATTTGAACCCAGTCGCCACGGTCTCAAACATGAAGAGATTACGTGAATTCTGCATCGAAATACCGAAGAGCTGCACCATCCCTCCTTAGCACCAGGTGGCACTGGGAACCCAGTTGCTGACAGATTTCCGAAGGAACCAACTGACTGTGGAAGGGAGGGCTTCCAGTTCAACTCAACTGAGGATATCGCATAAAGCTTTCTGTGAAGAGAGATGCGTAAGCATCTTCGGTCGAGACTCCTGGCTGCGTTCATTCCAAAATGGGGAACCTTACCTATGTACATCAAGAAACGAGAAATGATTCTACCGTGGAGTTTGGGGTATGCTATTTCCAGACCCACCCACAGTGTCAGATGTCAAACATGCGAAACGGACTAGCCAGGAGATTCGACGATGCAAATGTCAAGAAATGGTTTGAGTCTTCAAACAGGAGGGCTGGCCAATGTCTGCTACACGGTAGGAGCCCTCTTTGCCAAGGAGCCCCTGCAAAATGTTGTCACTGTTGAGGCATGGTGAGTCCTATCTTCACTGTTGAAACGATGCTGGGACAGTCCAGCAGCCTCCACAACTTGTGCTGGAACAGAAGCCTCACAGATCGCGCCAAGCAGCACTGTATTGGACGGCTTGACAAAACCCAGAAGCAATCTTTGAAACATCTTAATCTTAATATGATATTGGCTATATATCCCATTCATGTCCCATTAATATCCAGTTCATCGTCAACACTCAGAGTGCTTGAGACCACTCAGCAATGGACAAATCTACCCTGCTCATCCACAGCGGAGATATCCTTAGACCCGGATCGCAGCTTCTGCCACCAAGACCAAAATCGTGTTTTCAACATGTTTAAACTATCATATGCTTGAGAAACTCTGATTCTAGCTCCAACTGGTTCCCCATTTTTCGTTCAAAATATCGACACCCCAAATCGCTCCCTCCACTCTTTGAGGCTTGAACTCCCAGGACACTGTCGAGGTACTCATCATCGACCTTCAGGGGTATCAAAAAAATCTATCTGAAAATGGAATATACATTGATATAGATTGATATACTGATAATGCTCCCTCTTTTTGGAAAATGTGATATCATCTATTGAATCTATTGGATTAAGGGGGACCCTATTATTTTCAGACAACCCATCTCTAATCATATGACTTCGATGACTGTACCTCACCATGAAGCACAACGGCTGGGTTGGCTGGGTGCCGTGCCTCTGGATCTATCACGCAGAAGCCTCGCATCGCATGACCCCTCCAAAAGGCGATTCCGACAGTCCATCCATCTACTGCAACCCTCGCTGTGTTCTCAATTCTTTCTGATTACTCATCCCAATGTATATAGGTAGATAAGATAAGATAGATAGATAGATAGATAGATATGTGTGCAAAATGTTTTGAATAAATATACAATGTAAGTATGTCATATGTGTATGTGTATATATATATATATATGCACATGCATGATATGATATGTTCCCAAATATGTGTGTGTATATATATATATATACAGGTTCCAAGTCAGTCACTAACGTTGATGCAGATCAGCACCTGACGGTCAAACATTGAGCCTCTGACCCTTCACAGACAAACACTGGCCGATGCTGCGCCCGAGGGTCTCCTTGCACTGCGGTCTTAGATGGGTTTGTCTTGGAAATGGGGTATACCGGTATACCGGTATACCCTTCAAAATCTTCAAATGTTCAATTTAATGAAGATCAGACATTAAACCCCCATTTTCAATGGGATAAACCCCCATTTTCAAATGGGATAACAATCCATTGGAATTGGCGGTACCGGGGATTCCCGCCGTGTCGAGACCACGTGCTTTCACATCGGGGCCAGTGGCCGGCGTCCGCGCGACCTTTCTTCCCATGGAGCTCGGACCTGCAACGGTGCTTTCTTCCCAAGTTGAGGGCTCAGGGATCGACATGTTTCCTTCAAATAACATGAAACATATTAAACAACACCACCTATTAGGGGAATCATGTTTTTTTCGACTGCAGAAGCCTTGTTTAATTCACAATGAAGATTCTCGCTGAGAGATTGGAATCAAGCATCATCTTCGGAATGCCTGTCTCTCATCAGCAAAGACCAGGTGTGTTTTGATGCATTGACATCACTTCTTGATGAGTTTGGTTTCTAAGCGCTGTGAAACTGGTCATCTTGAGTCTTTTGTAACCGCAAGAGCCTCCTCATTCCTATAATTCAGTCATGCTCGCGGATGTACAAAAAAGAAAGAAACAGTTCGGTATCTAGGTTTAGAGCTTCCGAGTTTCCATTGACACCAAAAAAAGGACTCGAGATATGCTGTTTCATGGACTGGATTTTCTTGTGAAACTATGTGTTCCAAGCTTGAGACGGCCGCAAGTTCAGGCAGCTTCATTGTCCACATGCCACAGCCACTGATTCAAGGCCGAAGATACGAAGAACCCAAGTTCAATATAGCGATTCTGAGGATTAAAATCGGGAATGTACCGACACCGACATGTCACCAATGGATGAAAATCGGGTACCTCACAAATTCGATGCCTCGACACTAAAAGTATATATTATATATTATATATTATATATTATATATTATATATTATATATAATATATAATATAATATATATATATATTATGTATATCAATACGACCAAAAACGACCAAAAAGGCAGACCAAAATCGACCAAAGCCGACATGGAAAGCAGCAAAACATCTTCATCGTGGATGGTCGCAATGGTCGCCCTCAGCGCATGCCATTCATCACCTGCAAGGGGAAAAAAAACTGCAGATGCAACCCTCACTTGGGGGATGGTTCACCATCCCACCCATATGGCTATGTGTCAAAACCTTGTACCCCTGGTGAACATCAAAATAGCTGGTAAATGGATGTTCATCCCACTAAAAATGGTATTAATAGGTATTGATCCATACCCATATCCATTGAAGATATTGAAGGGAATATTGGGGAGAGTTTATGGATATGGATTTCCACATCTGAACTTGGAGAGCCGAAAAATCGCAACGTGCCCATACTACTTAAGCTCAAAAAATGCTGAGATAACTGACTGGCCAATTCCAGTAACTTTCACTGGCCCAATTTGAGCCTCCATGATGTTGCCAAAGACACCTGCTGCTGTAACAGCTGCTCCTGCTCCGGGGCCTCTGCAATGCCAAACGGAGAAACGGTTGCAGCTTGACCAACTGTGACAGAAAATCCGTTGCGGAGAGCCTTGAATCACCAAAGGCCTTGGAGTGTACCACCTGCACGAAAAAGCTGACAGGACCCAAATCCCCATTTTATGGGTCTGAAAAGGGGATACCACAAATGGCATTTTCGGGAAAATGATGAAGATATAACTGTACCCCTTCCACATCAAAATAGCGGGGATTTATGGATGTTAAAATCCCCTAAGAAATGGGGTGTTACTATAGCTATTGATCCATGTCGCCATGTCGCCATGTCTACACCCGCAGGGGTTCTGAGAGTCCAGCTTGGATGAGACCGCACAGATGTTGTCCGCAAATTGCGTTCCGGCAAAAGGATGGTCCTTTTCGTGAGATAGGACCGTCGAAACACATGGAATCATCCCCTGGTCACCAAAATAGCTGCTGGATGCTGCATGTATCATATGCCCACAGAAAAACACATGAAAATCCATGATGGATGATGCATCCCCCCAAAATATGGTATCGTAATGTATCAATAACATTATATTAAGAATGTATATGAATAATTGCTAATCATATATCAATACGTAATGTATTTCAGAGGTTTTGAATCCATCCCAATCCAGCACTGCACCTTGGGATAGCGGTCCAACTTCACTGATGCCTTGCCAGATTTCACCTCCACGGCGCCCACAAAGCGGAGCACTTCGTTGGCTTTCTCCGCTTCCTCCAAGAGTTTGTCCATCCTGGGATTTCCCCTGGCTGAAGATGACATCATGACACTGGCTGAAGCTGTGAATTCTTTGCCAACTAAGTGAGACTCAATTGACTTTATCCAACTATGATTTTTGAAGGATGGTTGAAAGAGGTGAATTATAGGCTCCTGGCAACTTGGCTGTACAAATCGTGGCTTCCCTATTTTCTGAATAATAGCGAGGGGCAACAACTCGGGAACTGGAGTACCACAACACAGGTTTGTGCCGACATATGGATTGTATGGTACCCGGGCCTTCATGGAGATGTTACTCGGATGTTTCCTACTGTGATCTCTGCCACGAAATGGGTGACAAGCTGTGTTGCTGCTAGTTGCGCTTTCCGTCAGGTTCATCGCATCATTTATCCGGACTGGCTTTGGCAAAAATGTAAAGGTGCTCCATGCACTCTGCGCAGGTTTGCCAATGCTGCTCCAGTGCATTTTTTCTGAGCAAAGCTTGCGCTTGGTAACTTTGTAGTTGAGAATCCTGTCGATGCTCATCAGGCACATGGCTTTCAGATTTTGGGGATGTTTTTCTTTCAAGTTGTAGTCCTCACAATCAGTGAAAGGACATTTGGTTTGTTTGAAAATGGGAAATACCCCCAGTTCATTTGCATTTTAAAAGGGCTAATGATGATCTATCGTTGAACGGACTGTGGTTTTCCCCTCAATTTACAGACACTCCGAGTCCCCACTTCAGAACGGTACACAACTCCCAGCTCGAGTTCCCAGCTCATCATCATAGGCCTCAAGTTCCTCCGGGAATCTGCATCTCTTGGGTGTTTTTGGCTGGTGTTTTTCATGGTGTTTTTCAAACATTACCCCTGGCTCCTCGATGAATGCATCAGCAAGGTTCTTGCCACTAGGAGCATCCCACCTCTGAACCAACATTTTGGTCATCCAACAGCCAACAGAGGCATCCAACAGCCGCCATTGCCGTCATCCAAGGTCCTCACTGTTGAAGCTTCTCTGGCACCAAGGATTTCACCTCGGCCCCTTTTTGTTGGTGAAAATGATGAGTACATTGGCTTTTGGCAGTAGAAATCGAGACAAACCTATAAGAATCAATATATATATATTATATATATATATTATATATATATTATATATATATTAGATATATACACATTATAGCACCTTGATTTTCAAACAATCCTACAGTATATATACGAATACTCAGTTGTTTCCATCTTCCTTCTGAGTTGACCACTGGCACATCCTCCAGCTCGATCTTCAGGCCCAGCTCTCGGCCCAGGATCGTGACCTTCCTCTGTACATCAGTTCCACCCAAATCATCGCGTGGATCGGGCCTCACAACCACCAACAGTTCAACGTTCATCAGGGAAAAATATGGGAAACATAGCCATAGAAAATCAGTTCCTCATGGATTTTCCCATGTTCCGAAATGATCTTATTTATCTTGAGGGCAACACACCACCAAACATGCAGCTTTTTGGGCATTTTTTTCCAAATGTCCTGGTCCGACTGGTCTGGTCTGACTGAGGCAGCTGCTCAGTGAAACCTTTCTCCTTGGCTTCTTTGACAACCTCTGAGAACTTCACGCCGGGCCTGGCCCCAATCTTGGTCGACATGGTCGACATCAAAAAACAAAAAAAAATATCCACAGTAGACTCACCAATATCCCATTATATCCCATGTATCTCCCCATGAATATCAATAGAGAGATTGAGGATATGAATGAGATTATATAATGAGATGCTGCTGGATTCCCTCAAGAGCTTCCACAACCATTGGGACCATGATTTCTGAGGTGACCCCACTTCCAAGTGTTGAAGATGAAGGACAATGTTCCGCTGAAGATGCCCTCAACCTGTTTGAAATAGGCACCAACATGGGCCAAGATACTGGCCATCAGCACGAAATGGTGAAGCAATAGATGCATCACTTGGTGGCTTCGTTTCTGGGTCACTGGCTGTCTCCACCTCATCTCCTGCTCGCACCAGCGATTGCACTGGGCCAACCACTGGAAGCCCGGCACCTACCTGGGAGATCCACTGCTCATCGTCCGAGCTCAGGACTCACAGACACATCAATCAATGATCACGCCATCACAGGGCCATCACAGGCCGTTACACCGCTTTTCCCCAGAAATCTTGAGACCAAACCAGAAATCGAAGTCGATCCACAAGAACCACGCCGCCTGAGCCGCAGACGGTGGCTTCGTAGAGAAACCGAGCACCGGTCTTCTTGGACGCAGCCAGAATCTTCTCCTGGCGGAACAGCCGAGGAAAAAAATGGATGACTTGGTGACATCCCCCTGGATCTTGGAACGTACTCACTATTGTCATGTCAACCTGAAAAATATCTACCATCACTATTGTCGAACTGCTCCAGTCACCAGTGAAGTCGAAAAATCGGAGTCCAAAATTGCTATGGGACAAAATAGCTAGTAAATGGGGGTTCATCCTCAAAAAAAATCTGGTACTGTGGATGGACAAAATCCTGCACCAGTTGGTAACTATGAAACACTGGGACAATGGTATTGGATTACAATGGGATTTGTCCCATCTACCAACTGGTGCAGAATTTCTTCCATCCACAGTATTTCATAGGTACCCTCTGGTAAACTAACATAGCTATGGAAAATCACCATTTTTAATGGGAAAACTCACTATAAATGGCCATTTTCAATAGCCATTTTGACATAACCAGAGGGTAACTTGATCCATCTCCAAATGTTGCCAGCGAGGCGTAGCGAGAAAATGGCCCGCTGCCAGCACGCTTGTTGGGCGTTGCAACGTCTGCACCAGCGAGGATCCACGCCTGCGACAAAGCAATGGAATCTGTTGGTGCTCTCCACTGCTTAGCTTTGACTCAAAACGGAGGATATGATGAGGATATCCCCGAAATTGCGAGGTTTCAGTGGGGAAAGCTCAGTTTTTTGGATTCTGGAGCAACGGGAAGTGCCATGGTTAATGGCAAAAGTGATGTTCGAATGGGAATGGGCTTCCAGATGTTGAGGTAACTCCCAGATTTGCTGCACACCTCATACAGCTCAGCAGGTGCATCTGATGCCTGGCCATGCGACAGCTCTTCTCAGAAAATATGTGACTCATTCTGAATAAGAATGACAGCTGCGTCACAGTTATGGAGGAAACAGTAAGGGCAGGACTGTGTTGTCCACTATAAGAGCTCGACCTCCTTGGTGGTGCAGATCTTGTTCAACTTCAAAAAGCTGTCTGTTCCATGCTGAGGCGGTGACCAGTCGAAGCCGCGGCTTTGACTACATGCTGACCTATAACTGTACATCTCGGTTGACTTGAGACGCAAAAAGTACACACGGGCATGGGTCAAAATTGCGTAGGAGAAGTATTAGATGGTTATATAAATACGTCAATACGTATAATATATATATATACATATATATATACTACAATGACAAAACCCAAATTGTATCTTGAATTTTAACTTTCAACCCATCCCACACCACAGGCAATCCCCACCCAGCTTCTCCAAATCCGCCGGCTCTTCCTGCGGCGACAGACCCAAGCTGCCCAGCCCCAGCCCCATGTCCGGCGTCTCCTTGCTCTCATCCCAGCCATCAGCCAGAAAGTTGAAGCTGTCCGAGGGCAACAAAGCCATGACCTGGCAGAAACCGAGATCTCCTGGGGTTGAGGTGGTTTTTCCATGTTTTTCCCACCAATTATAGTGATGTATGATGATTTATGGCCAGTGTATCTGATGTTTCCAGTTCATGGTAGGGCTGGTAGGGCTGGTAGGGCTGGTAGGGCTGGGTGCACCCCAGACCCAAAGATCCAAACACTCCGAATTCGCCTTGGAGCGCGAGACAGCTGAAATCTCCAGCCGAACCTTGAAAGCTGAAAGCTGAGCTCGGGCAGCTCGGGGGTCTTGACTTCTGGACATTCTGCTGAAATATCTGAAATAGGCACTCACATCACTCACTGGGAGGGCTACTCCAATCTTTTCCTCTAAACTTGGTCCTTCTTTGATCATCTGTCTCACAAGCTCTTGGCCTGAACCAGCGACAAATGCAAACTCTGCTGTCGGCACTTCAATCCGAATAGCTGAGATTCTGGACTCCAGTTGTTCTTTCTCAAAAGAAAGGACAAGGAAGCACCCTCCTACAATGGCCACAACTGATTTCCCTCTAACCGCGTGCCTACAAGTCCGTAACCAACGAGCCCTACCTGGATGCAGAATTCACAGGGAAGGAGACTCCGAGAAATCCCAAGACGTCACAGGGGAAAATACCCTTAGGCCGTGAACCAATTTGCTGGTTTCAAGCAGCGGATCATGCCCTCCAAGACTCCGGCATGAAGTGTTGGCACATCACCAGCAGCGCATGCAGTGGCGGAACCTTTGTGTCCAAGTAGCCTCTGGTAAACAGCCACATAACTATGGAAAGATCCACCATTTTATAGCTGGGTAAATCCACTATAAATCTATGGCCATTTTCAATAGCTTTCATCAGCGGAGCCTCCTTGGGCTCCAACCAGCCCGACTGTGCACTGCCTGCGCTCTGCGGCCTCGCGCTGCTGCCTCGAACTTCATTGGTTCATGGGTAGAATGGACCATGACCTCATTTAACATGCGGAAAATTGCCTATTGTTGGATGATTTACCTATGAAATCCATTAAATCTTATAAAGAATTGTGATTTTCCATAGCAAATACGTTAAAAATGACCAGTGGGTCCCGTGGCACCCCTCAGCTCCCAACGGACACGCGTGGGCACGCCTGAGCAGACGCCTCAGTTGATTTTTTCTGGATCTTCTTTTAATGTGTTGAGACCCCCAAATCTCGATAAATTTATTTCATTTTATGGATGTTCCTCCACCCATTCATATTGACATCCAATGCATTCCGACTCAGCATGACCGCATGACCCGCTGAAGTCAGAGGCCGGCACCAAGATCGCTGCGCAAGCAGCGGCTCGCCATGCCTCTGCGAAACTTCGGCTGTTGAAGTCGTGAAAGTATCCCAAAATCCTATGGTAAAAAGCATACATATGTCCCAGTGCTTTAAGGTGCCATATTGCCATAGTTTGGTGAAAATTCTTTTTCGATCAAAATCATTGGAACATACTCACTCATATTCAAATATGAAACTGGGAATTCATAGGGCATATTGCCGCCACCAATGTGTGGGTTTCCATAAATGGTGGTATCCCCGAATGGATGGTTTATTTATATAATGGGAAACCCTATTTAAATAGATGATTTAGGGGTACCGCCATTTTAGGACACCCCCATGTAAATTTCCACGTTTTTCCCCAATGAAGTTGCCATAGAAACCGGTGCTACATCCATCCCCAGAAACCAAGATTCCCACGCTCACTCGGCAAGGCGGATGATCGTTGGCAGGAGTCTGCGGCAAATCTTTGGGATGATGGAAATGATGGGTTTCACCATGGTTTCACCATCAAAACAACCATTGGAACAACCAAAATCACCATGTTTCATGGTGTTTCCGCACCATTTTCCCAATGGTTTCCCTAGGGTTTTCCCATGGTTTCCCTACAAAATTGCCCTGCCCGGGATGGAACTTCCGCGCTACCTGGCTCCGAGGGCTCCGATGGTTCCGGGCAAGAGCTGAAAGACCTGGAGCCTCCGCACCACGTTTCGTCGCTCCACAGTTTCTCGCAAAGTGGCAGAACTCTGTGACACAAAAAACCTTGCAATATGACTCGCATACTGCATATGTAATGATATGTAATGTATGTAATGTGTGTGATGTATGTAATGATATGTGATGATATGTGATATGTAGTCATAAAATGCAGCGCAATTCCATGTATTCGTTCTTTCGCTATGTTCAAAAAAGTGCCATGTCACAACTCATCGATGAAATAATGGGAATCCTTATAAGGAGTATTGTAACATGGATTGACAACCTTCCCCAATATGGGCCATTTGCCCACGATTTAGTCATGGCACATATGTATGCATACATACAAATAATATAAAGATCGTGCGTTCAATACAATATGTGCAGACATTTGCATATATATATATATATATATATAGTAGATCATATTGTAATTGTAGATCATATTGTAGGTACGGTATTTGTAGGTTACATAGACAAACAATGACTCCAACAATGACAAACATATGAGTAACGATGCAATCTCTGCGCCCCACGGCTGAGCCACATGGAAATTACATCCAAGGAACGGGGCTCCAGGTGGACCGAGGTACCGTCGACAAGCGGCTCAAGTAGGGAGCGGCCATGGTGTCCAAAAATGGCCCCAAAAATTGTGAAGCTAAGGTCACTTGATCCAAAGATATCCAAGATATCCACAGCCCGATTGATGAGGCAATGATCAATTTCTTGAAATTCTCCAAATGCTGAAGAAACTCTCCTGAAGTTTTGCAGAAGCGTGGCAGGTGTCTTTTCTTTTTGGCACGTTGCTTTCGACATTTGTAGCGGGAGGCAACGCCTACGCATCTGCTGGCAGCGCAGCTTCTTGTTCCGCTGGCACTTCAGGTTGCTCCTCGGTGTGAGATGATTCAATGCTACTGATAGACAAGCTGACGGGTACCACAAAAGTTGGAGCTGGAGATAACTATTTAAACTGTGGATGACCCAAGCACTTGAAGCACTTGTTACATCATAACTAATACAAGCCGATCACATCCATCACTCCACCTCCATCACTCAGCCGTCAGAACTTGGCCACCCGCTGAATCCAATTGATTGCTACCCTTCTCCCAGAAGCCCAAGTCTTCCATGACCTCAGCCGCAGCGGCCCAAAAAAACCCTCCGACACCCCAAAAAGGTGGAGCCACCAGGACACTGACTCGCCGGAACTTGTTGTCCACCGTAAACCTGACTTGAGCGTAGAAGCTCCCCAGCCTGGCGAACCAACTGATGCCACAGCGAAGATGGCAGATCCAGCGAACCACGAGTCGACGGCACCTCTGACCATCCAGTTGCCGGGCGCTTCGACAATCCTCGTTGTCTTCAAAGAGCACGAAGACTTCCGCATTGCCTCCACCAGAAATAGGTCTGTGAGGTATGTGAGGCCACGGTGGCAAGGGTTCTGTTGCCAAGATGAACGAAGGGCTGCAACGACAAAATCGAAACAGAGGTGGCAGTTGACATGGGTATTACTTTGCAGCTGTGTTGTACCCTCCGGTAATTTAACATACAAGTAGCAGTGGAAATGGCCCATCTATAGATGATAAATCCCCATTAAAAGTGGTGATTTTCCATAGCTGTGTTCAATGACCTGAGGGTATCAAAGCAAAGTTCATCATTTGGCCTTCCTCTGATGTCCATCCCAGCGCAATGGATCTTGGCACAGTTGGTGCCAGGAAGTTTCTCACTTCCTCCTCGCTGATGTCAGCTGGCGCCACCATGGCATCTGGAAAGGTAATCTTGATGCTCCTGGCAAACTGGATCAACGGCGTGCTGGGATGGAAATCAAACTGATCGTTGTGGCATAAAAAAAGTGACATCTGATGACATCTGATGACATCTGATGACATCTGATGACATCTGATGACATCTGATGACATCTGATGACATCTGATGACATCTGATGACATCTGACATCTGCTCCTGGTTGTCTGTTCCTGATTTGGCTTGTAGCTCATGGGCCGCACCAGGTCTTCCATGTCTTCTGGCAGCAAAGCATCGATTCGTCGAATGTATCTGTCCAGGAGATGGAAGTGACCTCAGCTGACGTCAACTTTCTCGCTTCAGCAAATGAATATCTGATGATATGTTCCATCTATATTCATGAAATAGCCACACAGAGTTTATTCACCAATCTAATTGAAAAGGCAGAGGTGGATTGACCTGGTTCGAATCAAACCATTGAGATCAGGGCCTTTTTTGCCCCTTCCTGTCTGCCCTCGCCACTGGGTCGCCCTTAGCATAAACGGTTCATACTCCCCGGTCACGGTCAACAAGTGAAAATGCTGTGAAACTATGGGTCAATGTTGGAACATCTCAGTGGCCAGTGACTAGAAAACAGCAGGCTGAGTCAGGCTGAGGCTCTTAGTGCAGAAGGGCGAGAATTTCTTGGGCTTCCGAGGCTTCCGAGAGCCATTTCTTCGTGGAGCTTCTTCGCCAGCGTCGCCAGCATGACGTGTCGTTCTGGAGCTCAACACCTCGCCATGGTGAGATCGTTGGAATTCCTATGGGCTTCCTATGGCTCCCCATGGCGACGACAATGATCTGGGCCAGTGGCCATCAAGGCCATGAAGCCCGAGACACCATGGCTCCAGATGCTCCAGGCCTCGGAGAAAATCTGGAGAGTCGGCCGTAGAACATCCAGGGGGTTGACCGGGATGAAAATCCAAGACCCACACCGACTGCCTTTGGGAAGGGACCTCCAAGCTTTGCTCATTAAGGAATTGATGTGAAAGATCAGAAACTGTCGGAGACTGGTGGCTTTGGAAGACCTATCAGGGCTGCCTTCAACATGCTCCTTTTGAAACGATATATGGGTCGATACAGGAGGTCATGTTCAGATATGATCAAATGCGCAGAGAAGGGCAGCGGAAGGGCCGCAGTGGCGTAGCCTGAAAGGCTGGAACTGAAAAGCTTGGAGTGGTTTGCGTAGAGCGCAAATGGAGCGCCTCAGTCTTTACCGCATGAGCGAACGATGCTGTCATGTTCAAAGACCGGGGTTGGCACAGGTCGCGAGAAGCTTGGAATCATCTTGCTGATGAAGTGGCAAAAAACACTAAGCACGTACTTCGTTCTGTAATTCTGAGATCCATTTAGTCAATCATGATTTGCCTGTTTGGACTTGTCTGTACAAAACCTGAATGTAAACTTCTTGATACTGGCGAACGAGTGAGGGGTCCATGCCCAAAATGAACAAGGAATCATTAAAAAAACGTGGTAAATCCATGTCCAAAACTTCAAGAAGATCAAGAATGAGTTTCACTTAGTTGCACAGTCCAACTCTGTGAACGAGAACAGCTGCGCAGGAACGCTGTGCTGGATGAGCATATCATTTGGAGATGAAGAGCACTGTGGGTCAAAAAGGTGTTTTGGAGACCATCCTGGTTTGAGGCTCATCAATATGTCATGATATGAAATAAATATTTTGGACATTGATATATATTTGTTTCTTGGGGGTATACGGTATACCCCTTTCTTTTTCAGGCACAGACACACCATTCGAGGAGCGGCAGCCTTTTGACATCAACTCTGAGCTTCATCCTTTCCGTCGCACATCTCATCAGGTTGCTGGACCGGATCAACGTCGAATCCACCGTCATCAGAATTCAGGAGTTGCCTGGCACGATGTGATGCGCATGATGCGGGGTCACCAAAAAAAAGAAAGCGAGTGGATGGAAGAATCTAGTAAACTAGTATAAACTAGTGCTATGATTCCCAAACTTAGGTGGTTTCCTAGTGGTAACCAATTGTTTTGATGAGTCTGGTTGTGATGAAAATCAAAATGGTCGAATTGGCCAGCTGCGCTGCTGCATCTCCATGAGGTACTCTGCGATCTGTTCCTGGTGCGATACCCTGGTGCTACCCTGGTGGTACCCTGGTCCAAAAATGGCTGGGAGTTGCATACTACATCGAGGTTTCCCAACATGGGGGATCCCCCAAATCATCCAAACTTGGTTTTTTTCGGAAAACCAATGGTTTGAAGTAGCCATATTTTAAGAATCCGCCACATGTACACAAAATGCCAGAGCAGAGCGGAGACGTTGCCGGACCTCGTTGATGAAACCCACTTCAGGATCAACTTCGTCGATGTCAACTTCCTATCCACTGCAGGCTTGTTGCTGGGCCATTGGTCCAGGTCAAGTCACAGAAAGCGAACATTTTTGTTGTAGAAGTGGGTTTGTTGCGGAAAATAGGGTAAAGTCCCATGGATGTTGAGACATTTGACATATTTTTGATACTTTTTTTTTGACTATTCAAATGCGATTTTGGGGTAGCACGGTATCCCCCTTTTTTGGACCAGCCCTCAAAGTTTCAGAGTTGAGAAAAATGTGCGTGTCAACAATATTAACATATGTCACCTGACCTCTATTCCAATGGACCCCTTGCCTCAAGCACAGTTGCTTGGTTGTCCCATCTGGGGATTTCATCCAAGTTCCCCTCAATAAATCGCAGCTCTGGATTTTCATCCACCCAATCATATGGAAAATCGTAGGTTTTGGACCCACTTCCAAATCACCAAATTCGGTTCAACCCCTGGCTGTCGTGGTTGAATTTCCCTCCAAAGTACTGCAAATCCTACTCGGTGGCTCCAGTTGTTGAGTGGATTATCTTTTTTAGCCCAGTTATAACTTGACTATCCCTACTTACCCCTTAGCTAGGGTTGTAACTACCACTGGAAGAAGGATGAACCATGAAGTAGGTCTTCGGTGGTGGTCGCTGCATCGCTTGTGCCCCCAAAATTTTCTCGCTTGTGCCCCCATTTTTTTCTCGCTTGTGCCCCTCGTAGAAGGTAAAGTAGTTGCTACTACTTCTACTACTTCTATTACTTCTACTTCTTCTACTACTTCTACTACTTCTACTTCTACTACTTCTACTACTTCTACTACTTCTTCTACTTCTACTACTTCTACTACTTCTACTACTTCTACTACTTCTACTACTTCTACTACTTCTACTACTTCTACGACTACTACTACCACTACCACTACCATTACTACTACCACCACCACCACCACCACACCACGACTACTACTACTACTACTACTCCTACTACTACGACTACTACGACTACTACGACTACTACGACTACTACGACTACTACGACTACTACGACTACGACTACGACGACGACGACGACGACGACTACTACTACTACTACTACTAGTACTACTAGTACTACTAGTACTACTACTACTAGTACTACTACTACTACTAGTACTACTACTACTACTACTACTAGTACTACTACTAGTACTACTACTAGTACTACTACTACTACTACTCCTACTACTCCTACTACTCCTACTACTCCGACTACTACGACTACTACGACTACTACGACTACTACGACTACTACGACTACTACGACTACTACGACTACTACTACTACTACTACTAGTACTAGCACTAGTACTAGTACTAGTACTACTACTACTACTACTCCTACTACTACTACTACTACTCCTACTACTACTACTACTACTACTACTACTACATGATGGCATTGTGGAAGGCAAGGGGGGGGAAGTTTAAATAAAGAGGAAAGTTGAAATAAAGAGGTAGATTTTAGATGATGGCATTGTGGAAGGCAAGGGGGGGTAAAGTTTAAATAAAGAGTTAGATTTTAGATGATGGCATTGTGGAAGGCAAGGGGGAGTAAAGTTTAAATAAAGAGTTAGATTTTAGATCATGGTATTGTGGAAGGCAAGGCGGGGGAAAGTTTAAATAAAGAGTTAGATTTTTAGATCATGACATTGTGGAAGGCAGGGGGGGTAAAGTTTAAATAAAGAGGTAGATTTTAGATGATGGTATTGTGGAAGGCAAGGGGGGGAAGTTTAAATAAAGAGTTAGATTTTAGATCGTGGCATTGTGGAAGGCAAGGGGGGGAAGTTTAAATAAAGAGGTAGATTTTAGATCATGGCATTGTGGAAGGCCAGGGGGAGGGAAGTTTAAATAAAGAGGAAAGTTTTAATAAAGAGGTAGATTTTAGATGATGGAATTGTGGAAGGCCAGGTTGCGCAAGTGAGTCGAGAGGGGGGCGCCAGTGAATATTTTGGGGCGTAGGTGAGACGAGGGGGTCGCAAGTGAGTAAGGGGCACAAGTGAGAAAATTTTGGGGGCGCAAGTGAGTAGTTTACCTTCGGGGGTTGACCCTGCCCGTGTCAATTCGCTGCCTCAGGAGACACATCCTCAGATTTCTGCGCAGGCGGAGCTTCTTTGGCCTTCCCAAGGAGCCAAGCAGTTCCCAATCAAAATGGTTGTTTCTTCAGGGTTAGATTGTATTCTATATGCACGTACATATATGTATATATATATATATGTACATTATGTATATATAATATATAGATAGTATACATGTATATCCTCCATCAACATTTCCATTTTTACGGTAAAACAGTAAAACCCGAAACAAGATGATTCCTGTAATTTTCTCAACCAATCCATTGGCCTCGAATGAGGCGGCTCGCGGCGCAAAGCGCTTGGCTCGCTCAGCACGTCGCCGTTCCTCCTCCTGTCCCACGCTGGGGGAATGTGAAACCAATGGCCATGGAGTCAAAGTGATTTGTCAAGATTTACATCTCGACTTTGTAGAAACAAAAAAGCGGAACAAACAGTGGTTTGGGAAAAAACAAACAGTTTACAGTTTATCATGTGTTCTCCATTGTTGGACCACAACTTGGGGTACAGGCCGTTTCTGGTCAAAACCGTATTACATGCGCTTTACGTTTAGCAACTCTGCGACTGAAAAGTCAAGAATGCCCCCTTGGACCTGTGCCCGGCTTGGGACTTCCTTTCAAACTGAGGTGTTTGTTGGAAAAGCATATTCTGATGGAGCGCTGGGGTTTTCTCACCTTTTTATCCACAATATTTGTTGCTTAAATCCCCCTTGCTCCAAACTTGTGATGGAATATGGCGAACATGCCACAACTTCAACACGTCCAAGCAGGTTTCTTGTTGAAGGTGCCGGCTGGTCCCGGTCTCCCGCCCTGCCACCTGCAGTTTTTTTGAGCAAATGCATCAGTGTGAAGTCCTCTTGTAAAACTGGTTGGGTGCGCTCGTGGGGTCTCTTTGGAGAGAAGGAAAGAATGTGTAGGAAGAAGGAGCGGGGGAAAGAAGTGTTGTAATGGTAGGGAAAAGGGAAGGAAGGAGGAGTTGCTCAAGTTGAGGGTGATTCCAATCGCGCTCCAACCGCCCCAACAATACCACTCCTACTCGCATAGTTGCCTCAGATTGTCCACTTTTTCCCCAAATCCTCTGCTCTGACTTCATTCCGGACGCCTTGCCTGGCCTGCAGCAACCATTCCAACCACATGCACCCCCAGCCACGCACCTCCCTCCTCCCACCCTCTTTTCACCCCCCAGGCATCAGCAGCCATCTGCAACCTTCACCCTGCGGGCTCCTTTGCTTCCCAGCAGCCACCTAAAAGAGCCTCACCCCAAAAGGCCCGCCCAGGCCACGCTCTTTCTTCCCTCCAACCTTCTCGCCCCATCACACACCTCGCCCTGGAACTCCAATCCGTAGGATTTATTTTATCCTTCCATTCCCTCAGTTGTTCCATTGTTTTCCATGGTTTTACCCGAGTTCTCCATCATTTTACCCTCCATTCCAGTCTCCCCAAGTCCATCGGAGGACGGAGCAGGGGGGAATCGAACCCCACCATCACCCAATTGCCACCTGGTACATCAGCCTCAAAATCGCTCAAAATCGACCACGGAGGCCACCCCAATTAGGTGGGGAAGTGCCTCAAAATTGTCCATGTTTTCAGCCACCTTCCCCCAGACCCCCTATTCTCACTTCGTTCGCAATGAGCAACTTCGCCATGCTTGACAGCTGGCTTTCGTAACAGAGATAAACAAAGATATTTTAACACTGCCTATCAAATTTTGAGAGATATGTTGGAGCATAGGGAGGAACTTTGAACTTCTCTGGTAGAGTTTTTCCACACTTGAGACGTGCTAAAACTCTAACAGTGGAGAAGGTTTCAGCTGTTGATTTCAGCGATTGGCACCCTCAGACTCCTCGTGCAGTTCCGAATCTTCTGCATCCGGGCTCGAACACCATGAGGAGAGTCACAGTGAAAATTGGTCCAGCGAAACTGCGACGAGATCCATTAGACCAGCTTCGTGATGAACTTCACTGTCTTCAAGTTCACTTCCTTCTTCCATGGAAAGGGTGCATCGCAGATCATCATCCAGTTCGTTGATCACAAAGAGTTTCTTCTCCCAAGACGAGGATCCAAAGGGCCCCCCATCATGACCACGGAGATGCAAGGTGCACCATATCATGACGAAAGGAATGCAGAAATGTAAAGAAAGAACCAGCCGCCTTACCATCTGGTTATGACTAACATAACCATGGAAAGATCCACCCATTTTTAATAGGTAAACCATGGTAAACCATCTATAACTAGGCCATCTATACCATGGCCATTTGCAAAGATTGTCCATGCCAAGGCGATGCAACCCGCTCCAACTGTCACCCGAAGGTCATGGAAAAAACGAATTTCGTGCAGGTCAAAAATGGTTCTACACCAAGTAGTGGGGCTGGATGGTCTCTAAGAATGAGGATATTTACCCCTAACCCAACTACTGTAGAATATACACGAAGAATAAAAAAAAGCATGGAGATATTGACTCAGTAGGGACATCAGACAAGAATATATAATGACGGCTGGCGCCTTGTCCACAGTGAAGACGACCTCCGGAACCTTCACGGGGGGAGGCATCTTGACGCCTGAGAACAGAAGCTACACTGCACGACTCGGGTGCCAAGCCTTCTGCAACTGGGTTTGGCCAAGAATAGGGTCTCCCAAATCCCATGGCGTCAAGCTTCATTTGTCCTTGAGAACTGCCACTGCGGAATAACTCGGAAGAACCCATTTCTAAAGCTCGAATGTCTCCCAAGCACCACACCACCAGGTTGAGAAGGCCTTAGCTAAGACAGCTAAGAGAGCGTCTCCAAGAGCGTCCGAAGTCGGGCAAGCATTGTTACGGAATCATCACACAAGTTTCCACTGTGATTTCAGCCAGAGAAAAGAAGTGTTGGGGTTATCATCACCCAAACCGCAAAACTAATGAGACAATGGAGGTTTCATAGAAGTTGCAGGTGCTCCGCAAAGTAAAGTCGCAATGAAGTTTTGGGGGAAGCCTTCAAAAAACACGAAGAATGCCCTCCAATCTGCGGGTGAACTCTAACCATCTCTAAACAATTGAATAACCTGCGGAGTGCTCCACGAAGTCGAGCCAAACATCAGACCGTCTCAGACCCACACCCCGGTGGCCGTGGCATGAAACCAGGTGGCACCTGCAAATGCTTCAACACGACGATCTTCTCAAATGACCATTGATGACCATTGATGACCATTGATGACCATTGATGACCATTGATAAGGGGGGTTGTCCTCTCAGTCGCTGCCTGTGCTCTTTGCAGCTCACCAGGGCCATGGGCATAGACCTCGGCCGGGGCCATGGCGGCCATGGCGGCCATGGCCGCGTGAAAACTTGGTCACGATGTGCTCTCAGTGACCAACACACCTGGCTCCACGCAAGCAGCCGCCTTGTTGGACCTCAATCCATCGAAAAATCACCGGAAATCTTCGATGGCTGGCTGCAAAAGGCTGCAAGCTCACCGTCATGTTTGGACAACTGCTCCCAATGTGAGAATAGAGCATCCTTTCTTAATGTCAGACAAGAACTACAAACTTCTCAACAACCACGCTTTCAGGTCGTGGCCCAATTGTTGCAAAGTCGAGTCTTGAAAAATGGATGCCTAGACCGGGCGTTTTTTGCGCGCATCAAACACCCGATTTTTTTGCAGACTCTGGATGTCGGTGTGTCTGAATATGGGCTATTCCTCCCAAATATTGAATAACGACATGCAATTTTCAAAAGAAAAATCATCAGTATCCAGCGGATTTCGGGGTACCCTATTTTCAGACAACGACTTCTGCGATGCGCCTTGCTGCAGCCCAGTTTTGCCTGCAGAGAAGGGATATATCATATATCGTCCATCTCAAGGGCGAAGAGTTCGTCATAAACCACGCGTTTGCCAAGGCTTATCCGGCTTATCCATCATTGACTGGTGTTTTCCTAGTTCATATTTTGTGGAAAAAAAAACAATTGATATTTGGTGACGTTTGCCCACATGGTAGGTTTCATGATGAAATCCATGAAAGTCCCCGTATTCTTCCTCCAATCCCCATTGATCGTAGATAAACCTCCATTTTGGTGGCTTGAAGCTCCGTCCTCATCCAACATCCATCTCTGTTGCGTTAACCTCCATTCTTGTTACTCAAGCCTCAAGCCTCCGTTTTTCCTACTCAAACCTCAATTTTTGTGATTTACCCTCTGGTAAACTAACCGTTTGCTATTGAAAATAGCCATAGAAATTGTTGATTTACCCAGCTATAAAATGGTGATTTTACATAGTTATGTGAGGCTGCTTACCAGAGGGTCATCAACATTGTTTACATAGTTTACATGGAAGATCCATTTATGGTTGATCTACCCATTAAAAATTGTCATTTTACATAGTTGTTTGTAGGTTTACCAAAGGGTAAACCTCCAGATTTGGATCTTCCTGAGGAGCAAACCCCAGGCGTTGCTGCACCAGCCGCTCGCAGGCCCGATGGGCTGCACAGAGCTGCCAGGGCTGCAAGTCTGCGCGGATCGGCGCTCATGGTGGTAATGGGAATCTCAAGAAAACTTGTCAACAAAAAGATGGAACGCTTAGGACCTCCAAACTATATATCAATAATGTAAGGGTGTTCTTTCTTTGCGGGATTTTAGTGAGTGAAATTACCAAAATCTCTGGTCTCGGTCAGGTGAAAAAAAAGATTACAAAAAGAGTGTACATTCAGGGTATCACAATTGCAAGCAAAAACATCAGGTTTCTTTGTAGTCTTAGTGACCTAGTAAGTTCCTGAGGACACAAATCTACACCAGTTGAGGATTTGTTCAGCTAAAGCAACAAATTAAGAAAAATATATTATGATTAATAAAAATAGTATATATTATATTATATTAATATAATATAATATAATATAATATAATATATATATATTATAGTATGTCATGTACAATTCCGAGTGTATATGTAGATATACCAAGATCGGCATGCCATACCCGAGGATCATGTCAAAACTCGGCGCTTCCCCCGATTCACTTCCCCACCTGGTTCTGGAAAGAAAGCCAGGCGCGTGTCCTTGAGGTCACCCACCACTGCGTCGTCTACAACCTGACACGTTTGCAGGTCAGGCTCTGGCAGCTGTCTATTCGAAAGATTAAAAAGTCGTGTTGACATGTGTTGACGATATCTCAGGTATCTTGCTCAACTCAGACTAGGCATGGACTTCTGAGTTGTTTTTTCGGCATTGCCAATACACTGCCTCTGGTTCACCACGACAGTGAAAAGATCCCTTGCTGCTTTCTACTGGAATGCCTTCCAAGCACACGAGACCAGGAGACAGGCTTCCAGAAAAAATGGCTAGAACAAAACAGCATGAGGACACTCTCCATCACATGAGGACACTCTCTATCACTGATATTGCCTGCTTGAAATGAATCTCAGCATTTCAGAGCTTTCTATCCTACTATCTAGTGGTTGACTCTTCAAGTTTGACTCTTCAAGTTATACTGGAATTGAATGAGTCACAACTTCGCAAGTGCACTGGACTCTGCTGCAGATTTTGCTCGCATTGGTCAGGGCAAACTCCACAGGTGCCGTGACACCACGTGGCTCGGGTGCCACAGATTTTGGGCCCAGCAGCAGGTCCTCCAAGACCGGGTTCCAGGGGATCGCGGGGATCGACGGTGAACTCGAAGGTTTGGACGCCTTGAAAATCCCCGACAGCACACAACCCACCAGCGGCTGGGTGGCATAAATTACTCCCAGTTGCCGCTCCCGGCCCAGGAGAAATTCTGGCCCGCAATTCACCAGCAGCTGCATGCAACGCTGCGAAATGATCTTTTCACGCCTGAAGCTGGTCGCCAACAGCGGGATGGCAGAAGCTTCACACAGCAGAGGCTGCAGTTGCCGGTCGTCCGATCCCAACAGTCGCCTTTCTGCCTCCTCCTGCAGCCGAGGTATTGCAAGATGGTTGGCACAGCGTAGGAGTTCCAAGGCATGGAGGGCTCTTTCCACAACTTCACAGGAAGCCTTAGAAGCTTTCGAAATGGCCCGTTGTTGCTTCGAAATCCAAAGTTCCTCACTCCTTTCGTTGGCACCTGGCCCAGCAAGTGCAAACTCCACTGCCGCAAGCAAGGCAATTCTGCTCGCACCCAAAGCTTGGAAGTCTACCGCGCCCGCCAACTCAGATCCTTCCACTGGAGCTATCAAGGATGCCAATGCTGGCAAGCGAGTTGTCAGCTGGGTATTTCGGACTTCAAGGTCCTGCTGCCTCGTGCCACCGGCATCCACGCCCAGTCGAAAAAGAATGCCGCGACACCTGACGGGCCTGACGACCTCGGTTCTTCGCCTTTTTGGGCGTTCATCGACCTCGCCCCAGAGTCCAGCCGCTGGGCCCTGCCGTGGCAATTTCCGAGCTTCCAGGAGTGCTTCCCATCCACTCTCTGCACTCGTGGCCAGGTCTTTTCTAGAAGCAGAGTCAAAGCCACCCCACATCTGTTGCGACCTGATATGATATCTCCGGTCACATTGGGTTCCAATCTATCTTGCAACTGTCTGTTTCGTGATGCTCGCAACCCTGTATTTTTGATCTTGCTAAAACCACTTTTAGTTCTATTGAAAAAATGGCCGAGCGTTTGGTGGATCTTACGTGCTAAACGCAGACCCTCTTTCCAAAGGACTCATATAGGACTTCATGATCTTGCCTGGAGGGGTAGCTCTCTGGAAAGAACAAGACCGTACAAGGCAATTTCATTAATCTGTTGATGCTAAAATATCTCCTTGTTGGCCAGTTGTAGATTTTAGAAAATGCCAAAACATCTTATAATATTCCACGATCTTCCAAGACTTGTCTCAACCATTGATCCGAAAGCTTTGGAAATCTTGCACTTCACATCATTTTGTCATGAGACATGCACAGCAGCATAGCAACATGCGCTGACGCTGCCTGCGGCAATCAGCTTGTTGCGGACATCTTGTAGCGATGCCTGGACAGTCGTCCCATATGGCCCCCCCTCGTGCAGTATTTCAATTTGCTGACGCCTGCGGCGGCACTTTCATCTTGACTGGTACCTTAGATCAGATCTCAGATGTTCTCAGATCGATGACTTGCGCTTCCATCTTTGCCACAGTTGAAACCGTTTTAACCCATGGATTTACAGCTCCACTTCCAGGGACCCTGCCGTGACCACCACCTTGGTGCGCGCAGGAACCGGTATCGCAGGCACCAAAGGCATAGTGCTTCCTTGCCATGGGGGTAGCACTGCCAGTCACAGCCAGTCACACAGCATTGTCAAAAGTTTGACATATTCGCATGTGATGATCATGTGATTCATGTTCATGCATTTTCATGCATTTTCATGCATTTTCTTCATGTTTTTCTCCATCCCTGCATTGCAGGGAGGCTCCTGGTGCAGCTGATGGTGGTGTCACCTGGGTCGCCACCAATATTTTGTCACCCTAGAAAACTGGAAACACTCACAAATCACTGCCAAACAAAGATGAAATGCAAAACCAAGCAGCCATAAATCTCTCCTACTCATTTGCGGATGGGCTAGGCAATGTCAAATCTAACATTGCAGCAAGCATTCTATCCATATCTACACACATGTATAATACGTACATACGTACATACGTACATACATACGTACATACATACATACATGCATGCATACATACATCCATCCATCCAAACATACATACATACATTACATGACATGACATTACATTACATTACATGACATGACATGACATGACATTACATTACATACATTCATTTCATTCCATTCCATTCCATTCCATTCCATTCCATTCCATTCCATACATACAATACAATACAATGCAATGCAATGCAATGCAATACAATACAATACAATACATACCAATACATACCAATACATAACAATACATAACAATACATAGCAATACATAACAATACACAACAATACATAACAATACAAAACATAACATAACATTACATTACATTGCATTACATTACATACATACATACATTACATGCATGCATGCATGCATGCATGCATGCATGCATACATACATACATACATACATACATATATATACACATTGCATTACATTACCTTGCCTTACCTTACATGCCATGACACGACATGACATGACATTACATGACATTACATTCGGTATATAAATACATGACAGTGATACATTTGTAGAGGAGGTTGTGACCTGAACTGTCTAAGACCAATGGGTCCTGATTGGCATCAGCAGAGCTTGGAGCGCTCCTCGCGGGGCAGAATTTGGCATCCACCAACTGTCACCAGAAAATTAAACTTCACAAAAGGCAAGCCGTGGAAACAAAGTCGATTGTAAATTCATTCTACATTGAAGTCTTCAAGAGTGTAGCTATGGGTCAAGCTGCTATCAATCTCGGATGGTGTTTAATATGGTTGAATACTGAAACTATATAACTTCCCATTTTGCGGGATCCATTGGTACCAATCATTGATACCCACATATCCATTGGCACATTTGCTCAACATTGAGTGCTCCACCTGCCACTCGAATCATGGTGCTCGGCTTCAGCATTTCTGCCTGGTTGTCTCAAAAATGGGAACCGCTCCATCCCCTGGTTTTTAGAAAGTAATATTTTCCCCATTGACCCATGACCAATGGTAACCATAAATTGAGGAAACTCATCGACCTTCAGCACTTGGCAGTCCGCTGCCGACGGGCGTCCCCGAAAGTCCTGAAACTGCCTCTGCAAAGCAAAAACGCTGCATCCAAGACGAACAAGACAAATGATCATGATCTGGCTCTGAAAATGGTGTATACCCCCATGGCCATTTATATAAATAGGGAAGATATGGGAAGATGAGGTTTTAATCCATTGGAATGATACGGGATACCTTACCCGCAGACAAACCCATCTATATTCATCCTGCTTGAGTGTGCACATTTGTATGGATGGTAGTTGCGGACCAACGGATGTAGCAAATCATGTGAGGTCTAACGCTCCAAGTCTTGCAATACTTCCAACACTCCCACACTGACCATCTACAGAACACGCCTCCTCTTGTTCTGCAACCGGCGCTTGCGCAATCGGCTGTACTTTCCCAAGGCTGCTCTTTTCAGATGGAGTCCTCAGGGTTACCACATGTTCGGTTGATTAAGATTCTCGTTTCGAAAAACATTGATAGGAAAACAGGAAAAACTTATTTTTTGATGCCACAACCATTTCCTGGGAACGTTCCGTTTAACCAATCTACTGGTATTAATGGAGTTTCAGGACTGCCAGTGATTTCAGCATATGGTCCTTTCACGGGATCGCGATCGAGATGGAGCCGACATTGCGAAATCTTTGCATTGGACTATGTAGCTACAAGGCGGCCCCCCTAAATAGCTAAGCTTGCGACATTCATGGCAGAAATTGAACCCATTGATTTGACTGGTCCTTGCCCATGTAACGAGCAATTCGCCTCAAATCATTTTTTTCATCATAAACGAACCAGAACGCATCAGCAATGTAGAATTTCGGTAGCTGCTTGTCACTTTGAATCCACCCATCGTTCCTGCAATCAAGCGCTACAATAATTGCAGCAGCCCTTTGAGCACGAGCAGGCACCAAAGTTAGGGTCCAACATCAACAAACCAACTTTGGAGCTGGTGATCTTCAGGTGCTTTGCCTCATCTTACAGTACCTCAGCAACCCCTGTTTGAATCCTTCACCTTCACATCATTTTTGGCATCTTTGGCCAACCATTAGAAGTTGCCACAGCTTTACTCAGCCGCTATCCAGAAAGACTTCAATGCACAGCACGCGTAGCTGCCACCACATCTACAGAGACGAGCAGTTCAAAATGCCTCAATCCAAGAGCAACCAGTGCCACGATATCAAAATCTAGCTGGATTTCGCCTACTGGGTACAGATGTGGGTATCACAATAACAAACAATCCCTAACTTCAGGACAAAAAGGTGGTGTAAACTCATCCCCAACTACAGGTTCATGGCTCTTCTATGCGCCTGGGTCCCACCCCCCTTGGCATTGGCCAAAAAACTGCCCCGCGCAGGGCACTTCTGACAGATGGGACAAATATTATTGATGCTGATGAACGTGACTTGTTCTGTTTGTGGCGCGGCGAACAAGGTGGGCTGAGAGAATTCACTTGTTGACTATTGGGCACAAGACCACAACCAACCAAAACTAACCAATAATTTCCCCACCGAAAATGGTTCGACGGCCTATGTTTCAAAATAATTGTTTGAAAGCATTGATAAACAAATAGTTGCCCCTCGTTGCTGATATCGTGCAAACATGTTAAGCGTCCCACAGAGTTTGCTGCCGCACTTGTGCGGAAGCTCAATTTCAGGTGTGACCCACTGCGACAAGCTGTCAAAGAAACATTGACCTATTCCAGTGATGAAGGTTGCAAAACAACTTGCACGTTGGCCAAAAATCTCCTGCTATACTCAGATAGGGGTTGGAGGGTGCTTCTTAAAAGGGCATGTGTTTGATACTTTTGGGGGTTTTCATCTAGGATCTCACTTGCGATCTCAGTGGTGATCTCAGACGCCTCTATCGCCAAGGCGCTGGAAGCAATAATGCTGGAAGAACTTCTGGAGGCGCTGGTTTTGCAGGTGCTTTGCTGCACAAGCTCAGCGCTGGAGTGGTCCAGCCATCCACTAATCGGAAAGCCTCCCGCATCCCGGCCGGAAATGGAGATTTGATGGTGGTTTGATGGTGGAGGTTGGGGCGTACCGTACCTTTTCGGTCCTTTTTAGGGTTCTGGAACCTTTTTTGGATGCAATGGGATGTACAACCAGCAATATGATTTGGAAATGATTCACACCAACCATTTCTTGGAAATTTGGTGGCAGTTGCTTGTTGGGATTTGCTGCTGCGAATAAGCTGAGCTAAGTTTAGAAAGTCTGGCCTCAGCGGCGCTGCTGCCAATGTTGGCGAATCCTGAGGACAGGGAGAATCAAAAACTATTTGCAGGTACTGCCGGCTGCAGCGGTCTATAAACACTGGCTCCAGCAACAGTTAGTGAACATAACTCTCAGCTTTAAACACAATGACAATTTTGAACAAGGCACTGAGCGTGTACTCAGGAACTCGGCCAATCTCAAGACGCTGACACAAAGAGTCTGCGAAGTGGCAACAATTTCGATGAAGCAGGTCGTAAGTGGATCCAGTCCATTCCGCTTGGAGTTGTCTGATCACACTATCGATTCTGCTCTTCGGCAACCTGGTCGCCGGCATGCGGATGCTCTCACGAAAATGGTGGGCTGCATGAGAGAACGGCGGGGTCCAGAAGACACCTGTGCCGTCTGAAGTGTGCCCATAGGACCATTCCTTGTCATCAATTCGAACGCCAATATGGAAGAGGCCTCCAAGCTTGATTGGTGAATATTGGTTGGCAAACAAGCCATTGACCCATTGAACCCCTTCAGACTTAGTCACGTCATAGATGTTGAGGAAGATGTCTGAATTTAGGACGCTGCGGTCCTCAGAAGCTGAGACTTCAACACCCTCAGATCGCGAGCTTCCAGGGTCATCCATTTCTTGCTTCAAGGGTCCGTCGAACCACAGTCGCTTCACCAGTTGCTCAATCTGTTCGTTTGTGTTTTTCAAGGTTGCCTTTGAAACCATCCTCAAGGCAAAGAGCTCTTTGCAAGCCAGGCATGTGGCTATTCTTGCGGAAGCCGTGCCAATGAGGTCCGTCAAGTTGAGCGTTGCATATGCAACAGCCATGTCTACGTCCAAGGATCCACTGTTCTGCGACTCCAGGTGAGTGTTTGATGCGGTGGAGAGCGCATCAGGATTAGGATCCGAACACCGCGTGTCCGCAACCGCCGCAACCCCAGTCATAATTCCCTTCATGTCATCCCGGTCTGGCGTCTTCTGGGTATCCAACTCCTCCTTTTGCACGTCCATCGCGGGCCTTTGATCATGGGCATGTTCCGCACCTTCCTTTGCGAAGTCATTCGTAACGCCATGCACAAAGCCCTCGGCTGTCATCGACGATAGCTCCTCGCGGCGACAATCAACTCAGCATGAATTGATGCTAATGTCAACCCCGGATTGATGCATCCTGAGATCCGGTTTATTAATTCTTATGACATCTTATGACCATTGTGTGGTTTGGGCTATCAACGAATAGAATAGACCAAACTCGTGAAACTGTCTTTGAATGATGAAAACTAAAACAGTACGACAGTACGATGTGCTTACCTTGAAATAGAAGATAACATCTAGATGTCCCAAGCGGATCCAAGTGTGGTTGAAACCTGATCGTGGGCCCAATCTACATGGGTACTTGAGTTTGGGTTAGTCAGTTCATTGCTCAATGCCTATAAATCATGTTCGATACAGGGCAGTTGGACCGAGTTGGACCTCATCTGGCCTCCAAAAAGACGATGAAATCCACAAAGCCTTTGAGGCCTACTTTGAAGCCTTCGAAGCAATTCATGGCGCCGGACAAGGGTCTTTGCCACTGGGCCGTCGCACACAATGCAGGATGTTTTTGATGTTTTTGTCTGTCTTCGGCACAAGTGGCCATGCTTTCATGCTCAATTGAATTGTTAATTTGCGAATTTGCCTTACAATCCCAGTTGGCAACTTCTGTGCCGACGCGGTTCCTTTGTGGTACCTCAGTCAAAAGAAAGGAATTTGATAGAAATAAATATGTGTATCTTACAGAGAAGGAATGCTCCGCAATCGAGAACGTGTTGTTTCCGTTTGGTTGGCTGTCATCCTTTCACATCTTTCACATGCATTCAAGCGCCATGATTTTTGACAGCTGGTAGCAGAATCTCGACTGATGCAACAGACCGAGTTTGAAACCCGTCAAATCTAGTGAGCTAAACAATCCGATCTGAAGCATGGATTGCTGATTGCAGCCTGTCTTCTCTTACGTCTATCTTCTCTTATCCCACCATTCCCGAGGCAATCATCTGCTGCTCGTCTGCTATGAGACCTGGCCTTTGTTGGGTCGGTTCATGTCAATCGGATGTGTCATCCCCAAAAGAAGTGCAAAACGTTCGAGAATATACACGCGATACATATACTTGCCAATCCTAGACTTGCTGTGTAATGCTGATGAATGAGACATCATGTTTCCGTATGTTTCCTACCTACCACTTCTTCTCGCCATCTCTCACCCATATTCCAAGCAAAGCTGTGCCTCTTTTTTCTGACGCGGAAACTTCTGGCAGAAATCCTGATCTGCTGGTGAACGGAAATAATATGAAATATTAGAGGCTCTCAGCACACCACCATTTGTTCAGTAATACATAATAATAATATATAATAATAATGATACTGTATTGTCTTTTGCCTCTGGTTTTGATGCCGGATCCGCTGCCGGGTTGCATCTAATCCCATCCTTCATGCGGCGACGGGGCAACTCCCCATTTCCTGCTGCAACACAGACTGGCAACAAGATGACTATGACCAGTAGCTCAAGGGCGGCTGGTTACATCACAATCATCTTGTTGAATTTGTCTCTAAGCAAATCCCCGCCTTTCTGAGATCTTTCTCGGAGACTTGTAGATGGGCAGTGCCTCATTGATTTCAGGAGGAAAAAGACACTTGGAGAATGGGACCCTTTGGAAGCGTGACAGCTTTTTTGCATTGAAAAAATCTGCAGAGTCGCAAAGAATGAAGAGTTCTGCCCTGTCTGCACCATACATTGACATGTATCTGGACCGAGAGCGGCCAGAGGAGACCGGACCAAGCATGTCGAAGACACACACCTGGTCTTGCCCCCAAAAAGAAGCTGGCTCAATATGATGTCAGGCCGGTTTAGTCAGCATCTTTTATACTGGCTTGCAGGGTCGCACACTCTCAAAAGCGTGCTTCTTCTCTTGATGATGCGATCTCCATCTGATTAGATTGGATAGCGCTCCTATCTTGCCCTGCATGTTGGGTGGCAAGTTGCTGTCCGCTCTGGTGAACGGAACATAGCAAGTTTGGCAGCAAAAGAATATTTTCGAATCTTAATAGACCATCCTTCGGTTCCTCACCCAATGTGCAGATCGCTAGGCAATGGAGTACCACAAACACAATGGTGTGAAACCTGTAGGCGGGCAGCATCGAGTGGTTCCGATACTTCCTCGCAACTAGTGTCATTATCTTAATTTGGTCATTGACGTCATTGACCAGTGCAGGGGCTGAAAACAAGTTCTGGATCGCCAAAGTAATGTCCTGACCAATTTGCTGCAAACTTGCAGAAGCACACTGCTGAAGTATCTCCCAAGTATGGTTTTGACCTGCATGTATGAAGATCGAAGCTGGAGTTTCATGGTGCCGTTGATCTTTCACCTATACTCTCCCAGCTTTCAACTGAACATTTACGGGGAATCAATGGCTATAACTAGGCTATAACAATGGTTTTCAAACATATTTCGAAGATAACATATGATAACATCAGAAATATATGGGAATTTCGGAATATCAAATATCTCTTAACAGATTTAATTTATTTAGTCCTTGAAATCGACAGTGACACATGTTCCCAAACGCTGTCACAACGGTGTCACAACGCACACCTCGGATCTTTGCCGAATCAGGGGACCACGCTTCGGTCCTGCGTAGCTGGATGGTTCATGATGGAAAATCCCAAAAAAACATGGATGATAACTGATATAACTGATATAACTGATATAACTGGGGGTATCCAATAGAAATGTTTCTTGTTAACCCACAGATATGACTCATATGACTGGAAAATGATCAAATCGGGAAGCAATCCGCTACAATTCCTGTCCAATAAATGGAGATGTTCATGTTGCGGTGATCAATCCCACAAACAACGATCATATCCCTGGTGGCTAGGCTCTGCCGACCAGCCTCATGCTTCATCTTGCAGCCGCGTGATCGACAGGAGCGAATGAGGCCGAAATTCTCCTGTCCGCTGTCTTTTGTCATCCCAAAAGTGAAGCGCCCTTCGGCGCACCATCGAACTATAAATGGAGCTTAGTTGGAATATCATGGAACTAAAGTGGGATTTTCAAGCCATGTTTGATTCTCGGTTTTTTTCATGTTGGGATGTTTCGCTCAAAGCCAGCAACAGCAGCATGTGGTCCTTGTCTCCGAAATTGACGGAATCGCGTAAGGTGAAAAAAAAGGCATGATCTAAGCCTCGAACCTCGGGCTGCGAGGAGGGATTGCAGGTCCAAAACATTCCAAATTTTCAACTCGGCCTTTGACACTTTTTCAGGAATGTTGGTAATGATCTGGTCATGGTCTCACTATTTCTTAAGTCATAAAACACTGACCCGATGGCCGCTGCGCCAAGTTGCGTTGGGTCCAAGTCCAAGGTCCCATTCCAGGAAGCCCTGGTAATAGAGCGCAAATGCTTCGCTGGTGGACCATTCCTCCAGCTAAAACGGATTTCATGAACTTAATCAACTCATACTAAGATCAAAATAGATCAAATATCATGAAAATATTTACATCATAAGAATGAATCATACATTGGGATTTAACATGGGACTTTGACCATTGAAATTGCTCTTTGAAATCTTTGAACCATTTTAAACCCACTTTGTTTGGCCGTACGGTACCCGGTGCTGTCGCCTCGTTGCGCAAAAACAGCGCAAAAACGGCGGCCAAGGGGCAGCACAGTTTCTCATCACCGTCGAAAGAGTTGAGGCCCGCGGATATGACCAACCCGTTTCCGTCAGCCTTGCCATCTTTAGTGATCACATGTGAACACCACTGGACCATGACTGGACCAGTCGTGGAATCCCAATTCATCCCAATTCATTACAATCACCTTTATATTGTTTCTCTCAATTGATCCTGTCTCGGCGAAAGATCCGTTCGAAAGGAGGAATTTCAATGGGGCACCAGCCATCTTCAGTTCCGGACCACATGGTGTCGTCTCCATTACCGGTGACCTGCTGCATCCTAGTCCTCAATGCCCGCAGCTGGCCAGGCAACATGCTACCTTGGCAAAGACAAGGGCACACGCAGCTGGTACCATAGTCTCAAACTCAAGTTCTTACAATAGCTTCATCAAAAATGGCTATGTCTCAAACGATGGGGTACCGCAACATCCCAGGGTTCATGATCATGTTTCATCATGTTTCATCATGTTTCATCATGTGTCCATATTCTTCCCATTAGTTCATGATCCTTCTGAGACCTGTCTATGTGGGTTCTTGAAATACCAAGTCACTAGGCGCAAAGTTGATTGCAGCCATCATGGCTCTGCTGCAAGTGTGCCAAGGACCCTGCGCAAGCGGGGAGTTTTTTCCCCCTGCATCGATGGATGGGTATAATTTTTCGATAGCTAGAGACTGTAGAGACGGTACAAAAAGCATCAAAAAGCGATGGAAAAGCTATGTAAGTTCATCTGCTCGGCGAAAAGTGAGGGAGCGGCACGCCTTATCCATCACAATGTGCGGATCAAAGTATGGATACCTGGGGCTCTCTCCACTCTGACATTGGCGTAGCCGGCACCATCAGGGATGTACCAAAACAACAGGAAAGAGCCCCAAAAATGATCCAAATCAGAATTAAAAAGTCTTTCCACTGCGAAAGAGAATGAATTTGAGTTTTCCTTCCCGTGCAGTCTTTTTTATTGAAATAAGTTGATAGCTAACTTTCATTGCATCATCGACGGAGCTTGCGTCAAGGGGCGTATTCCAAGACCAAGCCCATCTTCGTCCGAAGTTCGCATTAATCTTCTTGAAGAATTCATGCACCCTAGCTTCCCTCAGCTCCAACATGATTCAAGATTCCATGGTGGCATGCACAAAGTCCATAGAAATAACTTGCGGTGAAAGCATAAAAACTCATCTGAGGATCTTTGTATTCACGAAGGGTTGGCCACCTGCACAATGGCAGCACAGCGGTCGCCATTGAAACAGCCCGCGGCCACCCGCCCAGCCCCAGCCAGGCCCAGGCCGAGCCTAGGACGAATCCGCCCATGACGGTCGTCAATCGAACATCAGCGAAACCAGGCATGGCCTCATCGGCCACTCCAAAAACATCCATGGGGATATAGCTTGGCATAGCTGCATAGCTGATGTGTCCTTGAACCTAAAGAAAACAATTCATGGCAATTCCATGACTGGGAGCAGCACGTTAAGGTCATTTGCCCGGTGCATCACTTTCGACAGGAAATACCTCAGCGGACTTCTCTGATGGACCTTATCCTCTGGCCACAGAAAACAAGACTCTCTGTTTCCAAGTGCATGGAGCAAAATGAAGTTCACATAAATCCTCATAAACCATGAAATGACATTGAATTGGTGTCGGTTGTTTTTCAAAACACCCGCAGAATACGCGTGGCACGTCCGACGAACTGTCCATTGCGAGCTGCCCTCCATCCCACATGTCCTCCGCACACTTCTTGCTGCAGGTTTTCCTGAGAAAACACTGGGCACATCTGGGCACTTTGCCCAGTAATATCCATTTTTATTGTGTCAAACTGAGGTACCTTTCTGAAGAAATGGCTGGATAATCTGAGCAAATGCCTGGAGTTTTGTTCTAGGATCCATTTTGGGGGTCCAAGCAACTGTGTATGAAGTAGTTCCACTTCATTCCCCACGGCCACTCCCATGACATGTGGTCTGCCTGCCAGACAAAACACCAACCAAAACGAAAGTCTCAAACTGGTTTGCAAACGCAGAAAGAAAAGTTCGACTTGGGTTGCAGAAACAGCCCGGCCTATATAAATCATCAATTCTTTCACAAACAGCCAGTCCGTGTCGTCGGCTGTTTCATTGCAAGATATTTGCGTGCCATAGAGCACCTTGACACCTGAACCTGGCACGGATGACACAGCCATGTTTCAAAACAATAATTCGTAGCTACATGACATAGGGCATATTCATCATATTCGTTGTACGTATCAAATTGGATCAATTTTGAAAGCACTAATTTGGATCAAGCTGCTGACTATGTACTCTTTCAGAGCCTTCCAAGCTTCTAGTCCTTGGTGGACACTGGAAACACTGGAACTGGCTCCAGCATTTTCCTGTTTTGAAACAAGCCTGTCATGGAATGCTCAGTGGTGAGCGGTCAGCTTCCCAGTTTGCGTCCCATGCTTTGAAAAGGCGCAACGATGAAATGTTCTCCTCAGGTCTGCTTCTAATGAGATTATCCCAAGCAAACTTGCACACGCTCAAAAAGAAGCCAGCAGTCTTTCACCATGTCTCAACGTGACTCTTCAAAGTTTGAAAACTTTGATAAACTTTCCAAAAAGCTTGACTGGTCTCCTGCGCATTTGGCCACTGCACTGCTGTGAGTGAAGGGCACTTTGAAAAGGTGGTATCATCCATAGCAATGCCCTTCTTGTCGGGATGCTTCACTGGACCCAGGTTCATGTCACCTTACAGCCGGATGCAGCTGGAAGTTTTTCCAAATACGAGACTCGTTTTGTGGCGTAACTACTTTAAGTTTGAAACATGTCGAAACTACTTTATCATTTATCTGACTCATGCGTTCATAGCATTCATAGCATTCAGAATACCCTGGACTTTGCCTATCTTTCGATGGTTTTTATTCATTTCCCACACCTTTTGAGTCAGCAGGAAGCTGATGGGCTAGGTTTCTAGACCCGAAGATGGGCCATTTCAGAGATTGGACCATCTAAATCTTCTGGGCTGATCCCGAGATACCCTTCAGTAATCTTCAGTATCTTCATTGGGTTTCAGAGAAAATTCAGAAACCGTATGTTTCCTCATGGTTCATCTCAATCTGGTATATCTCTCACTTTGAAGACTTAGGGGCAAACCCCATTGCATCCACTAAGCTTGGGAAAACCTCATGTTCCCGATCTAATAAATCTAATGGCACATTGAAACATTTTGAAACCCAGGAGCTAAGACAGGAAAATCGCCCTCTGGGATAGCGTGGCGTGGTTGTCATGGTCTGCGAAGTGGTCGTCTTGGAGGTCTTCGTCATGGATGTGGTGGTGAAGGTGGTCTTGGTGAAGGTGGTTCTTGTTGTGCTACTCACCTGAAATAACAAATGGGCGACTTTGAAGAAAAAACATACTATACAATACTATACATACCATGGTAAAAGCTGATCTTGAATGCGTTCCACTGTTCCACATTATTCAACCAAGTTCGGAAAGAATTTGGAGCCCAAGCCACACCGATACTAGTGCACTCAGGCCGAGGCTGTTCTGGTAGCTGTTGTGAATGTTCCAGTTGAGCTGGTGGTAGTGGAGCTGGTTGTCGTGTTGGTTTCAGCCTGTCACAACAAGACAATAGCCTCAATAGCCAGCAGAAACTGCTTCAGGGATTACTTTTTGTTGGCGAAGACAAGCGAGGCGGCCGTACATGGGGAACAAAGGGCCTCAGACATTCTCCCAGACCACAGGCCTCCATTGCCAGCCCTGATCATGAGAGCATGTTCCAAGTCATCCCCGTCCCTGACTTTTTCACAGTTCTGAGCCAGGCACATCCAGGATGGAAGAGAGAAACCTCCTACAACGGATTCGAGTCCTCAGGGTTGGTGAACGAAAGCTAAGCAGGGAAGATCGGAGCCAACAATTCCAAGCAAGATGCGAAAGGGAACATGGAGAGAGGCCGATGAGGTGGAATGTGTGAGGTTGACTTATATACAGTAATTGAGTGGAGTGACTTGGGTGGACTGACTTGGGTGGGGTGGTTAGGTGGCGTGGGTTCGGTAGAATAAGTTGGGTGTCATAGGTTGGATAGAATGACGCATGTGAAGTGAGCTGGGCATGAAAGTTGCGTATTGAGGTACCGGGGGAGGGAGGAGGGGGGAAGGGAGCTAGTTACCGCTAGTTTTCATGATTAGTGCACCGTAAACTTCCAAAAACATCTCCAAACGTGAAACCTGCTGCAGAATTTCACATGAGGCAAAGCAGAGTTGCTTTAAGTCCCCGACTACACTTTTAAATTTGAGACAATAAACTGCAACAAACTACATCAAAATCATCCAATTAAAAGAAAAAACAAGGACTCCTTCGTCTCCACCATCGCTTCCAGCTGCCTGTCAGGCACAAATTTACACAATGTATATGGGTGAACAAAAGATAGAGCTTCGGTGTGCAGTACAAATTCCAATTAAGCACTGGTCTTTGTACAAAATGTGGCAACAAAAGGTACGATCCAAAATGGCCGAATCGGTTTCAGTTTTCAACCATCAAATTTGGGGATCTTTTCATCAAAATTTCACACGATTTCTCGCCTTGGTCGGGCCCAAGAAGATGCCAACCCCAAAAGCCAAAGCACACAGCACCTCGCCCACCATGAAAAAACAAATTTCAGCCATAAATGACTGACAAATAGGACAATCATGGACAATTTTAAATTCTGCTGTTGGAGAATGCAGGTTGCTGCTTTAAAAATGCGATGCTGCTCTCTGATAGATTGGAGTATTTTACAGTTTTAAGGCTGTCAAAGAAGGGTGGAGCCAATGTTGTAGTCGTGGCCATGGCATAAAGGCCAGAAGTCCTCCATTCGGAAAAACCAACGATGTCACAAACAATGTGATGTAAACAAGCGTCCTTCTACACCAGTCAAGTATCCACATCAGCAACAATCAGCATCTCACCATCATCAAACAACAGCATCTCATTGCTTGGCCATCATCCCAACTCTCCGAACAGTTTTTTTCAGATTTGTTTTGATATATGTCCATTTGCGTTGAGACGATGCTTCAACAGAATGAAGCAAGGCGCGTTCCCTTTTTCCGATGGGGCAGCTTGATCTGAACGTACGGTTGGGTTAGGCTAGGCCCTTTGGTCGAAGCTCAAAAGAATGTTCCAGGTTTGGTGTCATCGAAAAACGCATGGATGGCAGTGGGCGGGCGTTTTTCGGCCCAAAGACAAACTGCGCCCTCCACTACCCACCCTTGAGGCAACATGCTACACGTAGCAAAGGCAGCGGCATCGTTCGCAGCCCTGATGTTGCTTTCAACTCATGTTTGACCATTCGATCCTTCCGGCAATTTGCGTTGAGACGATGCATCAACAGAATGAAGCTAGGCGCGCTCCCTTTTTCCAATGGGGCAGCTCGATCTGAACCCCCCCTTTTGTCCATCGAGTTTCACCGTTGCAGCACGCTTGCAAAATCACCAGCAGTTGTTCGCACACCTTGATAGACACATCCATTGCAGGGTCCAACAACTAATGTAGTTGATTCCTTGATGGCAGGTCACTTATGTTTGCTTCAGTTGGTACCGGTGCATACCACGTTCTCAAACCACCTTCCGCTTCCAGTTTCAGATGGTATTCCAGGTCCATCAAGGACTGTCCAACAACGTTGTTTGCTGAAGCTCGTATCAGTGAAAAACGCACGCTGTCATTATCGCCAAAGACAACATGTAGGGCTTCGCTATCATCCTTGCACCACAGGTCAGCAGCTAAAAGTGCCGCAAGAAGTTCCAGTTCATAGGTTGTGCCCTTGGGTTGAGCACCCAAAGAATTGCAAGTACGTGCGTCCAATGCCAGTCCAAACCACGCACATACTTCAGTGTTCTCATTTACCAGCACTCCACTAAGGCCGCCATTTGAGGTGGACTGTTCAAAACAAGCACCTGTTTACAATAACCATTGCTTGCATTCAAAAGCTGTCACAAGTCTCGGCTTCGCCTCTTGCAGTCGCAAAGCAATAGCTTTCAGAGAGTAGATCAAGCCAGCGTCCAGTCTTTTTGTAGGACCATATGCATGATCCACCAGATGCTTCAAAAGCAACCTTCCAAGACGACCGTGAAGAAAGCTGTCTGCGAAACCCAGTGAACCTCACAAGGCCAAAGTCTCTTACTTTTCCAAAAAACCTTTGTTGATCGCATCACGCATCTGTTGGAGGAGTTCGTGTCTTCTACTTTATGTATTGCACACTGTCAGCAGGCCAGCTTCAGACCTATGAAACTCGAATTGAACTCCCAAAGCCTTGCAAACAGAGTCGAATGCAGTTGCTTTGCTACCTTCTTGTGCAAAAACCCAGCCAGCCAAAAGGAAAACCAACTCCATGCCACACCTGGAGGAATCGCACAACGTCGGTTTGGAAGCCAGGGTGAAGTCATCATAAAAGTTTGTGCAAAGTAAGTACAGGCCCTGAGTTGCGATCGCACAGATCATCCTGGCCAGTCTGAGGAAACAATACACGTGGCGAGTGGCTCCAAAAGGCAGTGTCTTCAAACGGTAAACCTGCATGCAGCCCTCCTTGTGCTTGTACATGCTAGAGTACGCATATTTGTAACGCGACGGTCGAATAGGTACCTGACCGAGCACTTTTGGGATCATAAGTCTTTGTCAGAAGACTTGAATCTTTCCAGATGCCCGACACGCACGAAAATACTTCTTGATCAAGGCACAAAAAGTGTCAATATTGTGCAAGTCAATATTGCTGTGGATCTCGCAACTGTCATTCACGCCAGAAATGCTGAAATCGTCAATCATACGCCTCTTTGCTCCCTGAGAGAGAGCGGAAAACGTCTGGAGACCGTGGCACCCTTTTCCAAGTCGCTAGGTGTGTAAGGGCCATCAGCCCACCCCTTCTCAAGTTCAAGCATTGTTTCGCACAGGAGTTGCTCGTCCACAAGCGGGTCACCAGAGCTCGTGGTCATGCGAGTTACGGCCTCGTTCATCTTTTCTGCATTCAGTTCCAGTTGTTCCAGTGTGGCCATATATGGCTTAAACTGCGCTTCAAAGGAAGGTGGCGCTTCAATTTCATCAGCAAGAGTGCCTCCTTCCTAAAGCAATTTTAAAGCCCCTACATCTGCAAAACCCAACTCATCCAAAATTTCACGCGTCAGCAAAAGCCTCTTCCCTTTGCAAGCCTTGCCACCTCAGGGCGTCTCTTCAGCGCATCTTCACGCTCAGCACCCTCCAGTTCTTTTGCTCTTGCGACCCAGTTTCTGCACCATGCCACTCTGTAGGCAATCATATCCGTCCATTGCGCATGCTTGTCCACCACCACCATCAATTCTTTGGGGACTCCACCTTCTCTGAGCGCGGGATGACCAACCCTGCAGGCTTGTTCCATGAACTCTTTGTACGTCCAAGGGATGCCAAAAGCCACTTCAAACCCAAGCTCAACAGATTCTGACTAAGAACCTGTATCTTCCAACATTTTCTTCGCTGGCAACTTCTGCGCCTCTTGAACACCCCTTTTGGCAGGGGTAGAAATTGCAGAAAAACGTAGGAAGCGGCTGTTCTGCGAAACTGTAACTTGTTGTTTCTCCTTTGTAAACGAGACGATGTCATGAGGGAGCTTGGACATGAGGGTGCACGGAATGTCAGTAAGGCTTTTTGTAAGAAAAACTGCAACTGAACAGGTGTCGGCAACGACAGGAGGAATTCGCGATGCCCTCGGCTGGCCACCAACGCTGATCTGAGAAAACTGAGCAGCTTTCAAAGGATCCTGATCGTCAAGCAAAGAGGTTGCCTTCAGTTTTAGGCCTCGCTGTGAGGCAAGGTCCAAGGCTAAAGTCACCAAGGCTGTGCACATTTTCCTTGGATACTTGGATTCCAATGCAGTTTCCCAAACTTGTTTGCCGTCACTGTCATGTGCAAAGCCCCATGGTGCATGCAATGTTGCCGGTTGCGACGTATTTTCAAAGACAAAACACCTGGAAAGTTCCCAGCAATACGAGTCCACTTATCTCGAGTGCCTCCAGCCATACATTCTTGAAAGTCACCACAAAAAAAAGTCCCATGCAAGCATCAACTGAAGCACCCACCACGTCAGCCAGAAATAGGAGGTACGCGGGTTCTCCATAGTCGCCAAAATTCCTCGAGAACAGGCTATGTGAAAAAGCTTGCAGGCATACTATCTTCGGGTTGAAGATTGCTCAACCGTTCAGGTTCGCTGTTGCTTCGCAGAGGTTGAGGATCACCTGCGAAAACACAAATGTCACGAGCCCTGGACGCTGTGCCACACACTGGCGCCAAGTATATCCAAACAAGGAGCGGAGACTGCAGCCATCTTTCAAGCAAAGACTGGTGATGTTCGTTACAAAGGTCAAGCTGTAAAATAGTACTGCGACAAGACTTCTTCTTCGTCTTGTCAACTGCCAGCGACGAAGCCAAGCCTGCTTGCTTAGCTGTTGCACACAGAATTGAAAAACTTGAGAAGACCTCAACCATGAAGCATTGCTCCACTGAAACACCATTCCAGTCAATGTAGTCAATAGCTGCAGGTATTTGTCACTTGCTTCCATGCTGCTGCAAAGAATGGCTTTCTCCGCAGCGGGGCTCGGCGCACACATGGTAGCCCTTGGGGCAGCAGCCCCCAGGCTTCACTCCTTTGTCTGAACAACCTGACTTGCAATTGTATCCAAAACGTATTGGATCACCACTTGATGTCTTGTGCCATTTCCCACGCAAATCCTGAAAGATTGGTGGTCCGGACTTTGCCCTTTCCCTTGCCACCGCCCCCTTTGCCTTTTGATCCACCACTCGTGAGCCATCATATGGTCCTATGGTTGACTCCGCCATTGACCACTTGGTGTTGAATGCGACAAACTTTGACTTGACTTCGGCGGGGGGGCTAAGTGCAAGGCAATCAATGGGTCTGCCTTCAGCTCAAGCAATGCCACTCCAAGAGGGTATGTGCCATCATCCCGTTGACGGATTGAACTGAAAGTTGACCACAGGGGACCAAAGGCAGCTGTGGCACTCTGCAGCTTCTCATCATTGTTTTTCATCACCAAAGAGCCTCTCTCTAAAGTCAGCTCCCTGTTTTTTGTCGTCCCCTGCGCTTCCAAAGATCTGGGCACGCAACTGGCCAGGTCTAAATATTTGAGGGTGTTGGCCTCATGCATTGCGCAAGCACGATCAAGCGCAAACCATGTGCTGGCTCCTTTTCGCCAGTAATGCTAACTCCGGTCAAACCATTGCGAAGGGCATCCATTCGAGTCTGCCTCTCAGCGAAAGGAATTTCGCGAGGCATCGAATCCTCTGATCTGTCTACCGCCTGTCTTAAGGTAGCGGTCAGAAAAGTCTGAGGTTCGAATGCAGCACGCTTGAGGCAAGATGGCTCTGGCAACGTTGGAGCTCGTCCAGCTGCATTCTGCACCAACTGCTCCACACTGGTGTCAGCAATGGGCTGACCAGGTTGCCCGACACTGAATGCCACTTGGGCCAACGTTCTGACTCCATGCCTTTTCAGACTATCCACCAAGGCAGCGCTTAAGCCAGCCTCTTTCAGCTGGCTTTCATATTGAGCTGCACTGTCAATCAGTGAAGTCATGGCAACAAGTTGCGCAAGGTGAGGTGGTGACAGGACTCAAAGAAACATGAATGTCAGCACAAGGTCAATGCCGAAATTGCAAGGTGAAAATGAAATTGAGTTCCACGCAAACGTTGATATCTTCTCACAGCTCTCAGTTCGACAACAATTCTCAACATGAGTGTGTCTTTCCTGCATCTACTGCAGCTACAGTCGAGAAAGCAAACAAATTCTCTGCACACAATTTCCTCAACTTATGTCATGGGTGCCTGCGTACCAATGAAAATTAAATCAGACTGAATCTCTCCAGCAGCTTTCTGCTCAAGTCTGTTTGGTGAAAACGACCTCAAAGCTTCTGCCTTAAAATTCAATCCAAGCTGAAACGACGGCTTTCCGCAACCGCTTTCCGTTCATGAACAGCTTCTGCATACAACCTCTGCCTTAATCCTTGAAAGATATCGCATGGAGCGCAGCTTTCTGCAACATGATTCTCGCCTTTTGGCCGCTTTCGGGCAGATCCCCCTTTGGGTGAGGTAATGCCCTTCGGCTCAATGTTTCGAATCCTGTTACTATCCTTTGGAAAGCAACGCAGGCATTTTGGATGCCTAAAGTGAAACCTACGCTCAAGCTTCTTGAAATTTCCACTCATGTTCAGCTTGCAGTTCGAGACAGTTTCACCCAGGCTGCAACAGTGGGCGGTGTCGCTCTTGACATGTTTGTAGAAGTCCTGGCCAGGTGGTACATCCTCTATGTACCTAACAGCAGACGCCCTTCCACCAGGTATCGAAGAGGAACTGTCACTCTCAGAGCTAGTGCTACTGCTATCACTGCCACATGAAGACTCTATCTCAACAACTCCAGCGGCAACCAGCTCCACAGGAAACAAAGTCAACCTTTCAGCAGCAGTTTCCAGCATGGATTCATCTAATTTTTCTTCCTTGGCGCTCTGCAGCTCCTCAGTCACTACTGCGGCTTCAATCGCCTGTGACAAGGCCTCATGGTCTCGTTCCCCTTTCGGGGTGTGCTCCTCTGGCTGCTCCACAACAGCCTGGGGTACTGGGGTCTTTGGAGCACCTGCCGGTGTAAAAGGAGTAGGGTCCTCAATAGCCCGAACTCCTTCATCGCTTCGTCTTCAAGCGACAAGCCTGAGCGAACCCTCCTCAGAATAAGGTTCAAATTCCGCAGTGCTCTAGTCTGAAGTTGTCTACTGTAAACCACTTCTGATCCATTCAAGGCACAGCAGTGGTGTCCGAAAACAGCTCTGCTCTCCTTGTCAAGCCCTGCACGTGCGCACCATCCCAAAAGTGTAGCCTTCATGGAGTGGTTCCTAAAGGTGCCAACGTCTTTTGTCCCTTGAAGCAGTGCCCTCAACCAACCCGCGGCCTCTGATGTAGTCAAGGGACGGGCACAAAATGTGCCGTCCAGCCTGGGTGCAGGAAGTAGAGGTCCCAATGGCCTCCTGTGGATATCCAAACCAACAAAGCTGTAAAGATCTAGGAAGGTCCGCATCCAATCATGACGGCGAAAACCCTCCGCAGCAGTTTTGCGTTCTGCTGTGAACAAAGTTACTGCTTCATTCTCTTCAATGTCAACCTTTTCAATGAAACGGACATCTGACCAACGAGCCCGTCCACAGATGAACAGCCTGCTCTAAGTTTGTCAATCACATTCGCTTCACTGTTGAGGATCTCATGGAGTCGTCTAAGGTGCTCCACATCCAAACCCGGGGCCTGGTGAGATGGACCCATGGCCTGTTTCTGCAAAACGTAGAAGGCGGCGTGAGCCTAGGATGCAGTCAGTGCCTGAAAGGTCGAGAGGAAACTTTGCAAATCAAACTGCCTCCAAAAAAAAGCTTGGGACAGCAAAGCCTTTGGCAGCCCGGACCCTCTCATGCTTAAGCCATGCAAAGTAACTTCAAATGATCTGCTCATTGGGTGGAAACGGTTTCAGTTCCGTTGCACTAGCAGCTTCTGATTTGTTGAACCAGCTGATGTACTTCTTGAAAGCACTTGCCCGCTTCAACAAAGCTGCTGGGCTTTTCACACCACAGCAAGCCTTGTGGATTGTCGTTGCGTCTGCTCCAGAACAGTCCCGTTGCAAAGCTGTAACCAACTGCAGATGAGCTCCATTCCATGGATAGGATGTTCAGCCAGTGTCCACACGCCAGTTCCAGCTTTTGACTCTTGGCGTCAAAAATAACTGAAATCTTGAATGCTCTTTACAGCATTTGAAAACGTTGTAGCTGCACTAGTAAATCAACTGGGGCTCCAGCTGAATCCTCCTGCTCAAGTTCTGCTAGACCAGGGCACCGTGGCAAGGGATCACGGTGAAAATCAAAAATATCAGCAAGAACCCCAGTCTCCCACGGGAAGTGCAACATGTTGTCCGTCTGTCTGAACTGTCCAAAGCTATTGGCAACCATTTCACTTCAAACTTGTTGCGCTGCGACAACTCCAGGCGATTCAGTTTCTGTTTCAACGGGTCTATGTTCAGGTTCACCTTCTTCCAACAACTCAACTGAGCATTCAATTTCCTCCTCATGAGGCTCCGACGGATAAGATTCTGACATGTCTGAAGGCCCAAACATGGGGGGCAGTTGAGTGTCGAAACCAACTTCAGTCCAGCTACCTGCGTCATCACGTCCAGCAGTCTCATGCGTTTCCATGTCAGGTTCAACAACTCCAGTACCTGTTTCACGCAAAAGAGGCTGTCCAACATTCCTGCTGAAACTAAGTGAACTAGACAAGAGGTCCAAAGGGCGGAATGGCAAAGAACATGTAATTACTTACCTTCAGGTTCATCACGCAGCTGAAGTTCAACACTCTCACCAAGACTAGGTTCATATGAAGGAGTTCTTGGGTTTCCAAGCTCCTCTTCCTCCTCTTCCATGGCAATCTAGGCTAACTACCCCCTATGCAGTTTTTCGGCCCAAAGACAAACTGCGCCCTCCACTACCCACCCTTGAGGCAACATGCTACACGTAGCAAAGTTAGTGGCATCGTCCGCAACCCTCATGTTGCTTTCAACTCGTGTTTGACCATTTGATCCTTGCAGGATCTGTATATATATATGTATATATGTGGAATTCCCTGAGACATTTTGAACATGTTTGAACACAGTTTCATAATGTTTCATCCAGATGTTCCGAGCAATTCAGTGATTCAAACGCCAGGCGTCGACCCAACGCCTCTTAGGCCTGCACTATGATCGAGGCTGTCTTGACCATGGAGCCTGAAGCAGTCCCAGCCACAGAAGATCCTGGCGCCCATATGATGGTACCCTAAATCCATGGGTTTCAGTACTATATAAAATACTGTGGTTTGGGATGATTTGGGCACACCCCTTTTGAGGAAATATTGAAATATTGAAATACCCATACATTGACACCTGTCCTACCTGTCCTTAAGAACCGCTCTTAGCGCAGAGTAACCGTTTTTGTTGGTTGCTGTGACAGACAATTCCACCATGTCAGGTTCAGCAACTCAGAGCGTCCGTCCTAGCAAGGGTGAGTGGGTGGAAGCTTCGCTGCCATCACCTTCTCTGGCTCTCATCAAAGGAATGGCCTACATTTGCACGGCACGGAGAATAAAGATGATACTGCAAACATTTGCTGCGTAATGTCGCACAGGATCACACTCCAAAGGCACACGAACGCATGATGGCGCATTTTTTTGACATTACCTTGGAACATACCTCAGTCGTTTTCACGGGTTACATGAAAAAGGACCACGTTTGGAAATAAATTAATTTTGAATAATTCATGTACGTCTTGGCCAAGACGTGCACCGCACTATTTACCGGAAGCGACTCTGCAAATTGCAAAGTTGTTCAATCTTTGGGAATGTTAAGTTCATCTCTGGTTTCATGCATCCAGGACCAGCCAATGCCCCAAAACTGAAGATGGATTCAAAATTCACCACTTTGATATTCCTTGCCAGGGTCAAAAACACCCAAAAAAATCCGAATGGTCATCCAAGGGTCGTCCAACGGTCATTCAATGGTCATCCAACCCGGTCCAACCCCAATCATCGCAGCCTCACGACCTGGAGCCGGAACCGCATCCTGCGAATCCTGCACAGTCTCTGCTTCCATGGCCGTCCCGCCGTCGCGGCGAAAACTCGGAAAGGAAAAAAACGGCTGCAGCGGACACGGGGTGTGAACCAGCCCCAAATTCGTGTCAACGTCAAAAACTGCCATTTGGGTTTGTCTGAAAATGGGGTAGGACCCCCAAATACGCATTTCATAAGGAAGATGAGGATAAACTTTCGGATTCTGGGGTACCGTACTTTCAGACAAACCCATTTTGGTGTCGAAGCAAGGGCAGCGATTCGGTTTCTTACCATTAGCATTCAAATAAGTTTGCCACAAAGCCACCAAGGAAGCACCAGCCCCCCTGCAATGCGCAAATCGAAGGATGCATCATGGTATTACGTCTTAGCATGTCCCTGATGCATCCGAAAAGTTTGGCCTGGTTTTTTCTTGTTTGCCAAGGCAATATGGAAGTCTTGGGGATATCAATGCACTTTTCCTTGCATTGGACAAATATTGATCCCACTTTCACACTGAACCCCAATCAAACGGAGAGTCTTCAGAGTGCAAAACAAAATCCAATTTGTGGCCGCCAATGCCACACCACGCCTGTGACAGGTGGTGCTGGTGCTTGGGAATCGCGCGCCAATTCTGGAGCACAAATGGCTCACGATTTTGTTCACCATTCAATTTGCGGGCCAAAGCCCTTAAATTCGGTCCAAATTGGCCAGGAACCTCCCAATTTCATACCGTGTGTTGGTCCACGCATGCCAACGTCCAAGATTCAGTTCTGCTTTCATATGCTGTTTGTACAGGACACGAACATAGATGCAAGTCCAATTTCAACATGTCCAAAGTGTCGTCCAAAGGTGTTGTTGCCGAACTCAAACGGGGATCGTAAATTGGACAGCAATCAAAAGGAACATAACTATAATCAAAACACTGAATCATACCCGCATTCCTTGGTGGTTTGCTTTGGTGGTCTGTTATTCCGCGAAATCAGCATGGTTTTCTAGTGTTGTGTCATTTTTCACAAAAACTGGGATCAATATTTTGTTTGTTTCATACAAACAAAAATAAAGATTTCAATTTGTTCTGTACAACATTAATGATGGGCCCATTGTGTCCGTGTGTTACGCAAAAACATGTAAATATCAAGATATATATATATACCTGGATCTTCAAACGCCTAATATATTTTGACCCTTTTGGTTGTTTACCAATTATGGTTGAAACCGCCTAGTTTTTTGGGATCGTCATCAAAAATTGAAACGCCCAAAAACCATGGAAATTGGATAGTTTTGAATGTTTCATAATATTTTCCTCCTGTCTCCCGCGCATGTAAGTAGCAATTTTTGAGGCTGCATTGGAGTTGGGTATGCAGGTCTGACTCCGCAACCCCGCTTACTTTTTCTGTGCAAAGCACTTTTGCACAGAATCTGCAAAAAAACAAAAAAACGCGACCAAAACACCCCGCAAACATCCCGCAAAAATCCGAAAAACGCCCGCAAAAACCCGCAAACGCCCGCAAATCCAGAAAACTGGGTTTTTGGCTTGTGTTTACACATAGTAGCTAGTTCCGTAGTAGTTTTTGAAAGGCATCGAGATAAAAAGTAGTCAATATAGGAGTCAGAAATAACACCCACATAAACAAGCAGGAGTGACCTGGATTTAAGGTAGAACCAATGGAAGGCCAGACGCATCGCCTACTTTCATCGCATATCGCCTAGTTTTCATCAAGTTCGTATGTGTTTTTTGTGAAACGCCTGGTTTTCGAAGAAACGACCAAACAAAATAGTACCGACACAAACGACCAATATATTTTGGTAGTATGAATTTCAAGGTATATATATGATTTGTTGAATGTATACATAATTGTATCTTTGTATAAATATATATGTGTGTGTGTGTGACTTTATGCATGTAAATATATATGTATATGTAAATATATATGTACCTATACGTGTAAATCTACGTACATATGTATATACACAAAATGCAAATACATACAATTGTTTACATGTACATATGTTTACATGTAAATATTTACATATACAAATACACATACTTATATACATATACATATATATCTATATATAAATATATACCCGAGGGGCCTGGGGTTCTCCGATGGAGAAGCGGTGGGGTGGGGTGGGGCATGTTACCGTCATGTTCATGTTACGTTGATGCTACGTTGATGGGAGGGGTGGGGTGGGGTGGGGCATGTTACCGTCATGTTCATGTTACGTTGATGCTACGTTGATGCTCTGTGGGAAAAGTGAAAAAAACGTTTCACCGTTGTTGCGTGCGTGCTGCGTGCTGCTGACTAAACATTCAGTGTTCACAGTGTACTATATAGAATGAAAACACAAAAATCGCCTGACTGTCAGCACTTGCAATTTTCTACACATTGCCAATTCATTGCAAATAACAGTGCAAAAGTAGCATGATGCAAAATGCCTGAGAAAACACAGTACATTTGCTCAATTTTACATGACCACGCCTTGACTATACGATGAAAATTCACAATTTTACACCAAAAAATGCGATTTTTGACTTCTGAGAACATGATTTATGGCACAAGATGACTCTGCTTTAAAACGGACGGAAAAAAAATGATCCGTTCAACATGATGCTGAAAAGGACGTTGCCACTATTGAAAAATTGGCAAATTACCTAGGCGCCAGCTGTTTTTTTAGATGTTGACACTCAAACACAGCTGATGGCATCGGAGAACCTCAGTCCCCTCGCGTATATATATACATACAAACGTATATACATAAATACATTTATACATATGAAAAAACAAAAATATTTACATTTATATTTACATGTATATTTACATGTATATGCAAAGATACAGACATTTATTGACATAAATATACATATGGAAAATACATATATATATATATGTACATATATTTACATATGCATACATGTATTTACGTTTGAATATATAAATGCATATTTATATATATTTACAGATATATAATGTATATACATATTAGCATATCTATACATATATATATATATATTTGCAAGTATATACATGTATATACATATATCTACAAATATTTACATATATATCTATCTATCTATCTATCTATCCATCTATCCATCTATCCATCTATCCATCTATCCATCTATCCATCTATCCATCTATCTATCTATCTATCTATTTTTTGACAAACATACACGTATATAAGTTAGCTAAACTCAAAAACTCGCTGCCGTGGATATGTTGAAAACCGCACGAAGAGTTAGCGGGGGGGCGAACGTAGGGGCGAACATGCGGGCGAACGGGTGGACGAACGTCGCCCGCACGAGCGAGCGGGGGGGCGAGCGGGGGGGCGAGCGGACGGGCGAACGATTCGACTAGTCTTGTTTTGCCTGGTGATAATTAGTGCAGTCAACCTGTGCCGAAATTATTTTACACCTACTTATACAACCCAAGAATACTGGTACAAAGTTGTTGGTATTCGAAACCCGTGCAATTTTGAGGGCGGGCCCACCCCCTTGAGGGCGCATTAAGGGGTCGCACGAAGGGGTCGCACATACGCATGTACGCACGTACGGACGCATGCACGCACGCACGTTCATGTGCATGTACGCACGCACGTTCACATGCATGTTCAGAAATAAGGTTACCTTTAAGGTTACCTTTTATATAAAAGGTAACCTTATTTCTGTACGACCCTAAGCCTCCTAAAGCATATTTAGTATTAGGAGGTCACTTTTCAAAGGTAACCTTATTTCTGAACATGGGTCTGAACATGGGCTTGAACATGGGTCTGAACATGGTACCTACGTACGTGCATACGTGCGAACGTACGTGCGTACGTCTGTGCGTACGTATGTGCGTACGTGTGTGCATGTGTGCGTTCGCCCCCCCGTTCGCCCCCCGGTTCGTCCCCCCGTTCGCCCCCCCGTTCCCCCCCCGTTCGCCCGCCGTACCCTCGCTCAGATGGCCGTACGCCCCCCCACGTTCAATACGTCTAAATAACTTCAAAAACAGGCCGCAGCGACCTTTTGGGTTTAGCTAATATATAAGCATATTTACTTACATATAGAAACCCAGCGGAAGCGTTACCGGCGTGCCAAAATGATCAAAATTACTACATCCTCACAGCGAGGAGCCAGTTTTTGCATTCAAAACCTATCAAAAAAAGGTCCATCTACTTTGGGAATGACAACCCTTCCATCACTTCAGCCTCAAAAAGGGCAACCGCAACTTTTTCTCACATTGAAGATCATAGAATGTAGCATCAAGTTCATGTGGAAATGCCAATGAAGATCATAGAGCGTAGCATCAAGATCATGTGGAAATGCCAATGAAGATCATAGAGCGTAGCATCAAGATCATGTGGAAATTCCAATGAAGATCATAGAGCGTAGCATCAGTCCAACGTCCACAGAAAAAGAGTCAAAACTGAGACACCAATAAATCCTCACAGAAAGAAACGCTATTGATGAATCATCATCATCGGCCTACAACAGCCTAAAACAGAAACCGACAACGACGCTCGAAAGTGAAGCACACGACAACACAACAGGTCTCATAGCCCCGCCTGGAGCAAAAGAGCATGTTGCCAATCTTTGCTAAAGCACCATGTTGTTTTGAATTGTTCGGGTCGTTAGCGGGCTTTCACAGCATGGCGTGGGTGAGGTGCTGATTCCGCTGCGACATTGCTGATGCCTTTCTGCGTTTGTCTTGGCAGTGGATCGTTTTATCTTGGTCGGGCATCGCACTGCTCAGCTTTGTTTTGGTCTCTTGATGCGTTGTTTTTTTGGGGCTCCCCCCGTTCGCCCTCCTGCCTTTCGGCGGGTCTGCGGTCTTGAGTCTTACTCGCGGACGAGCGAGGAAACGAACCACCGCCGGCAGTCTGTCAGCGACACAAGAGTGCCGCGATACCAACTGCACCACGAGGACGACTTACAGAGGAGGCCGGCACATGCGAAGCCTGATTTCAATTGACTTTCCGGCCCAGAAATGGAACCTGAAAGCGCACATGTGGTATCAGCTGTCTCCGTTAGCTCCAATGTGGCGATGCAACACCACCCAGGCAACATTCACCAATACTTCGCTACTCCGCGCTACTC